ACTCGGTTCAGGATTCCGTCCTCGTCCGAGTCGCTATCATTGCCCTCTGGGACCAGATCCATCGCAGGGTCCGCCGCGATGTTTTCTGCGGATATCCCGCTTGGACCCGCCGCCTCCACGTCCTTAGCCTCCGATGGTTCCAGCGAGAGCTGACCCGGCCGACCCATCCCCTGTGAAGGAGCCTGGTCTACCGCCGCAGCTCCCGTCGGTCTGGGCTGGTCCGACTCCTGGTTTGGAGCCAGGCCAGTTCCAGCAGGTGTCGCCCCACTGCCTTTCTTCTTGCTCAGGAGTGTAAACACCCCCGAACTTCCACCGCAACACAGCCTGTTGGCGTTACCTGCAATGACCTTCCAGCTTATGGAATCAACTGAGAGGACAAGTCGGACACCTTTGTGTTCTTCCTTCCTCTCAAGTAGCCTCCACGCGCTGGGAAAAGTCCCAGGATTGTGCCTCCTAAGTCTCCACGTGCTGACCTCGTTTCCCAGGTGGGGACCTGGGAACCAGGCCATTACGCGGTGGTATATGGGAAGGTCTCCAAAGCTCATCGTAATGAGCCTTGCGCCTTCCCACGGCCGCAGATCCCCCACTTAGGCCTCCAACCATGCCCTAGAGGATTCGTCCTCGCAGACAAAGATGGCTGCCCCTCGAGAGAGGTAACAGTCAATGTACCTGGGAAAGGCCGCCTCATCTGGGAGCCCATCTATCAGCACACTGACCGCCTCCTGGACCGTCGGACACTACAGCCACCCTGAGACCCGCTTGGGACGCACGCGCATAGCTAATTTGCGCATGTGTCGCAGTACGAGGCTTCTTCCGCGAGGATGCGCCCTCCGGTGTCTCCCACCGGCAGACCTCTGCCGCTTCCCGTCGCCAGGCCGCTTTAGGGCCTCCGCTGACACACCGGATTGCGCACCGTCTAGCCCAGATGGCAGTTGGGTCCGTCCAGCCGGGGTCCCAGAAGTGGTGCCCCGACCTTCCGAGCCCTCCGTCATCTGCGCCTCTCTCCACTTCCGAGCCCATTTCCTTTCGGAACCTGGCCGAGACTTCTTCTTAATTTTTAGAGAGCCCACCCTTTCCGCTAGCTCTCTCGCTAAGCTTCTGACAGATTCCTCTGTCAGAGTGCGATCAGGGTCCCCTGGTGAAGGGCCGCCTGGATGTTCGGGGTGTCCTGTAGGGGGGACCTCGGGGTTTTTATTATTTTCATTGGGTTCCATATTGTTCCCACGAGTATAGGGGAAGTGGTGGTCGACGTCCGCGGTGCCCCTACACGGACGCAAGGCTGGATACTCTGGGAGGTCGCCCGGTGTCCCAGAGGCTCCGTTTAAGATGGTGCATCCCCGCCGTCACTCACCCCTCGGCACGGAATCGCTTAACACCTTGGGTTGGGTAAAGTACCATTGCCCATGATGGCCGTTGAGCTGCAGGCGTCCCAGATATACATCCGAGACACCTGTGGCTCATCGAATCAGTCGATTGGCCGGGCTACCGGCTTTCCGGCGGGTCTCCTCAAAAACCGATCGAGGCGGTCCAACGCAAGACCGGCACCCCGTTGCCCCCCCTACACGGTCGCACACGGTTCAGCGCCCAAGGCCGCCCCGCAGAACGAACTCGAGGACGTACGGGTTGGATTTTGTAGGAGCTATGGTGGTGGTACCCCTACCAATACACAACATAACTTTGTAATGTCAAACTTCACACCAACATTAGCACATTTTCAAAGTAAAATCTCATATAGAATTAAATGCCTTGCTGTGTAATTTTTGATCTACGTTATGCCACAGCAAAGTTGACATGTTTGAAGATGTATCGATGCTGCAGCTCTAAACTCTCATGGGGTAGCAGGAGCTAATCATTTTTCTTTCCAGTTCAAGCATCTCTCGAGAAATAGCGTTATTTTATGTTAATCATCACGATGTAAATGTCGAGAATGGACGTTTTTGCAATATCAATGTCTCAAACCCATCCCCTAATTCCAACTGTTGCGATCAGCTGACCCACCACTGATCCGATTGGTTGGCCATGTTTGCAAGCCTATGTGCACTACTGTTTTTACCTTCTTTCTTCATTAAAGTTCATTTATTTGAACTTTTCCTTAACAAGTTACCTGGAAGTTTAACAAAATCATACTAATCTCACTTTTGTAACTTGCCATGAAAAACTGTACTGATCCAGATACTTACTACTAAGTCATCAATAAGAGCTCCTCTAGAGAGACAACACTGTACTCTGGTATTTTTTGTAGGCAATTTTTTAACCAAAGCAAAGAAAAGAAACCCATAATGTGCTCAGCATAGGCATCTTGAGAGTTAATACACTTCAATGTACAAAGCCACAATAGAAAAACAACCAAGAAGATGAGCATAAAAAACATCCACACAAGGCAAACAGGAAACTCAAACATAGACACCACAGACCCTTTGCCAGGCTTGTACTGCTGATCATCATATAACCTTCTGGACAACACAAGATGCCAAAGGACTAATATGATTACATCAGTAGCATCACAAAACCAAATGGAAAAGGGCAATCCAAGGATATGATATGAGTAACAAAACATTAACGTGCAAAACACCTAAACTTGTGTGACATCACCACAAACACTTGAAATCCACTGGAAAACACAAACACTTGAAATCCACTGGAAATCACTAACTACTTACAATCTAGTGACCATCTGCCAGTGTAACATTTTGATTTAGAAAAACCTTATTCTTGCATTATGAACACACAAAAACAGGCAAGAAAGTCAAATGTTTAAGAACAGATAATGGAAAAGGATATGTTAATGTATGTTTGGACAATACAGCAAAACCAATTTGATTTTATGTGTCCTTGACCCCGTTTTTCAGTGCTTATCTTTTCGTGGTTTGCGAAAGGATAATTGACTTTATTTGGTGCTTTCTGGAGCATAGCACTATTTCTAGAAACCTTTTCTTTTTATTGCAGGCTTGATAAGTTACTTTCTAAGAGTCAAACATTGTCAACATGGCGGCGCGTAATCAGTTGCTCCTCGAAAATAAAGTAATTATCACTTATGGTTATAGTTACGATCATTTCCTTCAAATGGTGCTGCCACAGATGGTTACAAATAGAATTCAAGAGAGTATTATCTGTAGTGTACTAATTATCTGTGGTGTTAAGAACAGACACAACAGCTACACTTGAAATAGTACACCATTCACTGTACTCACCTGCCAAGATGTACTGCAACATGAAGTGGTGTGTTTCCATGATTGTCATTGATGTTTATAGATTTTCCTGATTCTACTAACTTTTTCAATAAACTTAAATTTCCAGATACAACACCTTTCAATACTCCAGATACTAAAGCAGGATCAGTGTATTGAAAAACTGAATTTTCCGCAGTGGCAGTTGATTGCTCTTCCTGAAAGTTTAAATATTAGGAAAAACTTTCCTGGTGATTCAAAATTAACGTACTATTGGGAATAACTCTTCATCGGGTGCATGATCTGACAACATTTCTGTTGGTCTAATAATTATACATACTCTCTTACAAACACAACACAACTTCCAAATATCAAAATATCTTTAACAATATAACATATAACCACATATAACCTCAATCAATCAAATAAATGACACAAAAATGACAGATTATGGATCGAACAGAATCGAAATACCACTGTCTCAAAGTGACACATCTGGAACGCTACCATATTGCAGGTTGTAAATTTTCCGTATTTTGAAAAAGTTTAGTCATACCCTGGCATTATTCTCATGCTTGCATTTTCAACATCCTGAAAATGTTGTTAGAGTCTCAAAAATTGACAATAGAAAGCTACTTAGTAAGCAGTAAAAACGAGATTTTGAAAACAGTAGGTATCAAGCAGAAAGCTAAATTTATCTAGAATTCTCACATCTCATAAAACATTCCAAACATATCTTTTTTAGAAATATACTGAAGTTTGAAGTCGACTATATGATAAGCAGATAAGCTCTTGAGTCTCGTTTTAGCTACACAGTGGCGTGCCTAAAATCTTATAACATCCTGCATCTTGGAAAGTGGCAAAATAGATATTTCAATTCTCCTTTTTTTAATGTATGTAACTACCTTCACCTTCTCTGAAATTGATGTACGAATAATAGGTATACAGGGAAAACCAAATTTGTCTGAAGCCTTGAGTTCAGTGCCTACGAGAGAGAAGCGCGAGAAGTATGTATCAACACATGCTAGAACGAGATAGAAGCAGCTGAAGAGCGAAGGTCATCACCACATTGCCTAGCAACGGTGACGCAGAAGGTCATGCAATCTGCCGTGTTGCAAATATGTTACACCAGCAAATGCAACGGTGACGCAGAAGGTCGTGCAATCTGTGCCGCGCTGCAAATATGTTACACCAGATAATGCAGCGCTGACGCAGAAGGTCGTGCAATCTGCCGCGTTGCAAATATGTTACACCAGAAAATGCTCGCACAGGCTTCTACAATACTTTAGGCTACTGACTAACCCAAGATCGATCCATGTGTACGAGGAAGAGAGAGAGAGGGGAAGAAGCGGGCACCACTTGTGTAGAAAGATTGCGCCTCACACCACGTTGCCTGGCACAACAGTGATGAAGGCAACAGAACACAACTGTAACTTGCTGCAGCTCCATGTTGTCTACGCTCAAATACACATTTCTGTCGAATCTGTTTAGGATCAGTTCCAGATCGATCCTAATGGTTCTCCGATTTTAGGTGGAATTGAAAGTTAAGGATATATACAAATTCTGCAACATTGCATTATTGGTTTGACTGTGTAAGCAGTTTATAAATAATGTAAAAATATATAATATTTATTTATATACGTATACAAAGATACAGTTTTAAATAAATTAAGAACAGTAAATGAACCCTAATTCATCGATTTCTTTGTTCTTGGAGCGTCCAAAAAAATTTTTTTTAGTTGTCGGTTCACTGTTTACCATCTTTCTGACGTTTGCGAATAAACCTAACCTCAATCATGCTATGTATACAATATACATTGTATACGCATTATATACAACTATACATCGAGACGTAGACAATTAATCTATAAGCGTAAAAAGGCCATCACTGGGTGTTGGTAAAACCTACCACGTGCTACCACTATAGCATTTTGATATATGGTTATATATTTTGTTTAGTTATGGTTTCTGTACACTAAAATTTAGCACCCATTATTCATGCATCAATTTCATTACCCCAAGTGTCAGTTTGTTAACATGACCTATTCAAAAAGTATAAGTAGGAGACTTTTTAAAAATCACTAAATACAATAATGCATTTTGGACAGTCGTCTAAAAAATGAGCAGGTGATAATAAAATACCGATAAGGTGATAACGATTGCAGGATTACACAATACACACTCCTTTATTTTTGAAATACGAACATGAATTAACAAGATAGTGCACAGTGCACACTTTCACTTCAGTACTATTACCAAAAGCTATACCACGCTATACCATATATACAACCGTAGTTTAACACCTTGACATAGATTCATAGTTTCTTCCGTTTCTTTATGCTAGTGTTTTGATTACTTTAACCTAAAACCAAAACGTAGTTCGATCGAAAAATGTCTGACAAACATTTAGCAAGCGGTAAGTTTATCACCATAAATATTTGAACCCTCCACGCAAAGGATTTCCAATTTTAGGTTCCGTAGAACCTCCCCGCGAGCCTGGCCTACTCAGGCTTTATTCAATGAAATATTGCCCGTTTGCACAGAGACCTAGGTTAGTTTTGAAAGCTAAAGGTATACCTCACGACATTGTGAATATCAACTTAACGAGAAAACCTGAATGGTACCTCAAAATCCATCCTAAAGGTAAGGCATTATTTTAATATCTACAATTACGAAGAATTGCAAAAACCTGCAATTTTATAGTTTGTTTCTGGCTATTTATGTTGCTATTGATTAATACGGAGGTCATGATGTATGAGACACGCCCACTGAAACAGTGGCGGAACAACAGTTTTTTCTTTTAAATTGTCCATTATCACAAATCCATAAGGAAATTTTTGAGATCGTGATAGTGTTAAATTGATGCTATATTTTTACAATAAAGTTATGAACATTTGCTCTTAATATCATAGTTATATTCTTTATAGTCAACAATCAAGAGATAATATTCTTTCACATACTTGATAACCTTTTATATGTTTACAGGTAGGAACAATTTATTTTGCCGCAAATAAAAAATAATGACTAAGCATATATCTATTTATAGGCATATATAAGTTCAACGACAGATATGATCTCTGAGATTCCTGAGCTAGAGATCATTTTTCATATGAATACAATCTTAAAAAATAGTTTTTATGTAAAGGAATAACAGAATCTGAAGTTTAGATCAGGAATCTTATTTTTTTCCAGGGTTTGTCCCAGCCCTATTAGATGGCTCAGACATAATATTAGAAAGTATCGATATATGCGATTACTTGGAAGAAAAATTCCCCGAAAATTCTCTGTATCCTTCTGATCCAGAGATAAAAAAACGAGATAAGGAACTCATCCAAAAATTAGGACCAGTCACGTCTACTTTCTACAAATGCTGTCTTAACATGGAAGAAAAAACTCTGGAACAATGGGCTCGAGTTTTCGTTGAGATGTTACAGGAATTCGAGAATGAACTTGCTGAAAGAAAAACTGCATATTTTGATGGGGACAAACCTGGCATGGTAATGCCCTGGATTTTCTGAAAAACATGTTTTTCTTAATTCCATTTTTTTAGTTGGACTATCTAATCTGGCCTTGGGCGGAGCGAGCAGGTTTAATAACCCTTATGAAGGGAAAATTACCCCTAAAAGACACAGATATACCTTTGTTGAGAAAATGGCGCAAAGTAATGCAAGGATATCCAATTTGTGCAGAATTAATATCGCCCATAGAAACGCACTTGAAAATGTATCAGGCTAAAATGAATAATGTTGAGCCTAATTATGATGAGTAAACGTAATTAAGTACTTATGTTTCAAACATTTGTAGGCTTTTATCTATGTATACATATTAAAATAAATATAAATATTGAAATAGTTGAGTTTTTTTTTTAATATATCCTGTAAAAACAGAATCCAAACAGTTAAATAAGTAAATTAATAATTTAAAATAAACGAAACTTTCGCTGAAGATCTTATATCCTTTTTACATCAACAATTTCTTCACGAATTTATTCAGATCGATTTCTTCAAGGTCATACTGATTATGTTATGTTTACATCAATGCACAAATTCACGGATTAGCTGTCAGTACTCAGTGCTACCGACCACACAACAAGTTCTTGTTAGAAACATTTTGAGCTTTTATGTCTATTGTGGTGTTGATTTTGAGGCGAAGCTCATAAACAGACACCATATGGTTGAATACTGTAGTTCTATCAAAGTTCTGTACTAGAATTGAAAAGTTGTTCAGTATAATGGAGAGGAAAACAATGGTTGGCACTGTGGAATTTGACGTCCAGCTTGTCAAAAATTGGAACAAGTTTTAATTTCGTGAAGAAATCCACGAAGATGGGAGATTGGATTTAATTGACGTCAAATTCCTGTTTTACACTTTTGAAATTTGGCCATGCACGCAATTCATGAAGAAGCCCGTGGACTTATTGTCAATGTAAAACGGGTATGAAAGAATTCACGAGACGCATACATTTTTATATACTTTTCTCAAAAGAAACATTGTGTAGACAGGTATTTCAATAGTAAACTACCAATAATTAAAACGTTTTTTATTTTTTGTGATTATTGTACGAAATAAAGATACTTAAAAATAAACCTACTTAGGTGGTGGAGGGAAATCGGCAAGTTTGAAAGTCTGAGGTCTCTTGTCCATCCATTTTTTAATATTAGGTACAGACCAGACTTTGTTTTTAACAGCTTGTAGATTAGGAGCCTTTGCGATTATATCATTATCAACCAAGACGTTTATGTAATCTATGAGGCTGGTGAAGTATACATCGGCCCAAGTTAGCTGCAAAAGATTTTCTATTATTTTTACGTTTTTATAACGTGGAAACAAGAATACTTATAAAATATTTCTATGAAATTAAGCACGTAGCTGTCTCATTTACACCCCGTTAAACCGAACACAGGGCAGGGCATAAATGCCTGGACAGGCAGCGACAAGCGAATACGAGCAGCGATGAATATATTTTAAATTGAGTCTATTTAATGCATGTGTCTAATTTTAAACAGAAAATAAATGTAAAATATGAACATCTATTGAAATTATCTGTTTACCTTTGGCAGAGCCAGGTATCCTCCATTTTCCTTAGCTTGAGCTTCAAGTTTTCCTATGTAGTACGGAATAGTCTCATTCATGAGGGTTTCTTGTAATTTTTTCCTCAAGGTTCCATCATGCTCGTAATAAAACTGTGCCACCTCTAAAACGTTAGGATTATTTAGCGATATTTGTCTCACAGATTGCTAGAATTGTAATTTCGATAATCTTGGAAACAAATATGAAATTTTTGAAACTGTGTAACTCGGAATATTAAAGGTTGTACTTACTAATACGTAAATCATTGACAGTTTCAACTGTTGCATCGATTGTCAAATCTTCCCAGTCGTCTTTGCCGGTGAGTTTCACCTTTTTCGCCAAATATCTGCAAATAGCAATGTGTTGGTGTGCCACTTTGCCGTCGCATTCCAGAATTGGCAGTTGGCCATAGGGCATTTCTGAAAAAAAAAACTTTCAGTATAGATGCCATTTTTTCTAAAGGAAATAAGAACTAAATGTTGAAATGGGTGAAATATTACTGAAATTCGATTTTTGTTTGAAAGGGATACATGTGCCACATCGTTTAAGTATTATTGTGAAACTTTTTAATCGTTAATCAAGCGCACCTTCAATATATAGGGTGTCCAAATAGTGTGTCAAAGCTCAATATCTTCGTTACTATTAGAGTTGCAGATAAAAGTTAAATATGAAAGTTGTAGGCAGAGCTAAGGGTTTCAACCTAAAATTATTTTTGGCTATACAGGGTGACCCATAAATTAGTGGCAATATAACATGTATTTTTTAAATGGGACACCCTGTGTTTCTGTTGATTTTACATGATCAGATTTGTACTGGGTATTTCGGAATATAAGGCCACTGTTTCGTTAAAATCATTATACATATGTCTTCCTGTATCTTAAATACACTTTAAATAAAATTTGTTTTAGATATTATACTGAGATAGAAACAGTGATAGATAATTTTTTTGAAAAACCCAAAGGATTTCAAAAAGCTTTGTACCGACGGTAACAATTTTTTTTAAAAGCGTGAAACAATTTTTGGTGTAAATTTCCTGTCAATGTGCGAAGATTCAATCAAATATTCGGTTCCTCCATGGTAATTAATGAACCTTTGATCATTCTAAAAGCAAAAAACCACTTACTTGGTTTAAGGTCGGGCCAGTCCTTGTATTTGATCCTAACATCTTCAAATTCCAAACTTCCATAGCTCAGCAATACTCTGATAGGTTCCCCTAGAGCATTGAGATCAAAGTATGTTACTTTATAGCTGGGAGCCATTTTTCATCTACAAATCACACACGCTACAGAGAAACAAACGGTACAACTCGATGGCTTGCGGGTAACTAATTTTGTCTGAATTCTGAATAACTGGACTGCTTTATATGTGGATGTAAGCGGTGATGTGTCGCGTGTGCAGCAACAATGATAAGGATGACTGACATCTAAAGGAAATCATAAATAATTATGTTTATTGTAGTTGATAACAATAAACGAATGAGTATATACCGGGAGTGTTAGGAATTCGACTCTCAACATATTCGGCGCAGCTGCCCCCCCTTTTCATTAACTCAGCAAAAATTAAATGGAGAGAACATTTTTTACAAAGATTAAATTATTCATGTACAGGGTTCTTCTTAAGCTAAGTCGATATCTATTGGATAAGAAATTACTAGAATTAGTTGAAATCTATGTTAGACGTAAACTTAAATTTGCTAAATGCACTATACAGAGTTTCCTGGATTCACTTCTCGATACAGGGATCTCGGCTCCTGTTATACCTGCACCGAAAGCTAAACGGGGAAAGTTTCAGAGGAAACTTAGTGCATTCGTTAGTCGGTTTCAGATTTACGATCGGTCAATGTTGTATGACATGACTCAATCGTCTTTTATTTTACCACAACCTATCTCAACTTTCATTTTTCTTATAGCCGCCATATTGGATTTTTCGGTTTTTAAAAAGAGCGTAAAATTTCCAGTCTAGTGATGTCTCCCAAGTGTATAAAAGAATGGAGTATCACGGAAATATCATCACACGTAATGTTATGTATTAGTTTTTTCTAAGGAGGCCAAAATTTATTTGTCAGAAAATAACATTATCAGTAAAGCATAAAAATCACATAAACACCTCAAATTTTCAATAGAATATTAACGTTAATATCGACTTCTCAACAATTCAAATGTTTTGGGTCAAATTCCCAGCTATGATGAATGTTGTGCTTATTAAAAACTCCACAATTCGTAAATCTACTCTCATCGGACCACAAGGCATGATTTAAAAAATCGGGATTTTCATTAGACTTCCTAGCATACCACTCACAGAACCGCATTCGCCTTGGAAAATCTGTTTCGTTAAGTCCTTGAATTATTCTAGGCTTGTATGGGTGGTACTTATTCTTATTTAACACTCTCTGTAATGTTGATTTTGACACGCCAATTTCTCGTTCTGGAAGAACTTCCTCCAAGAAATGCCGGTAAATAGGTCCTGTTAACCGTTCCGGTGAAAGGTATGGCCCAATCAAATAATCATCAACAATGCCTGCCACACGTTGACAGACCAACGTTGCTGATGTTTTCTATGATAAATTGCATGGAGATTTTCTTTGTCCAAACGTGGCTATTCCTACTATTAAAAATACCATAGTGTAAAAAATTTGGTTCTGCAGCGATTTGATGAAGAAGCCATTGACAAAATTGAACTCTAGGATGACGATCGGCTGCAGTCAATTCGTGGTAAGGATAAAGTTGTTGCTCGTGTATCACCCGCCAGACGGAAGCGTTACTCGTATTTCGTATTCATATCCTCAGCAATGTGACGTATGCTACTTGATGGTTCGTCGGCCACTCGCTGAAGGACCTCTTCTTCAAATTCGACCGTGTTTACGGTTCGAGCAACACCAGTATCATGCATGTTGGTTTTAAACATGCCTGTCTCGGAGAGCCGCCGATGAATAGCAATGAACTTTTTGTATCCCGGATGCTATCGTTCGGGATAACGTTCTTGATACAACCGCGCTGCTGCTCGTGCACTACAGCTTGTTGCTCCGTATGCCAAATGCATATTTGCCAATTCTTGATTGGTAAAATTTTCCATTAGCAACAATTAATTTTAGTTAAATTCTTGCAAACTTCACGACTAAGGCGATATGGAATGCAGCTAAAAAAAACAATCGCTGTTATCGTTTTTAAAGATAACAACACACAAGCGCCGGATATGGGATATCCTTTTTACATCAACAATTTCTTCACGAATTTATTCAGATCGATTTCTTCAAGGTCATACTGATTATGTTATGTTTACATCAATGCACAAATTCACGGATTAGCTGTCAGTACTCAGTGCTACCGACCACACAACAAGTTCTTGTTAGAAACATTTTGAGCTTTTATGTCTATTGTGGTGTTGATTTTGAGGCGAAGCTCATAAACAGACACCATATGGTTGAATACTGTAGTTCTATCAAAGTTCTGTACTAGAATTGAAAAGTTGTTCAGTATAATGGAGAGGAAAACAATGGTTGGCACTGTGGAATTTGACGTCCAGCTTGTCAAAAATTGGAACAAGTTTTAATTTCGTGAAGAAATCCACGAAGATGGGAGATTGGATTTAATTGACGTCAAATTCCTGTTTTACACTTTTGAAATTTGGCCATGCACGCAATTCATGAAGAAGCCCGTGGACTTATTGTCAATGTAAAACGGGTATGAAAGAATTCACGAGACGCATACATTTTTATATACTTTTCTCAAAAGAAACATTGTGTAGACAGGTATTTCAATAGTAAACTACCAATAATTAAAACGTTTTTTATTTTTTGTGATTATTGTACGAAATAAAGATACTTAAAAATAAACCTACTTAGGTGGTGGAGGGAAATCGGCAAGTTTGAAAGTCTGAGGTCTCTTGTCCATCCATTTTTTAATATTAGGTACAGACCAGACTTTGTTTTTAACAGCTTGTAGATTAGGAGCCTTTGCGATTATATCATTATCAACCAAGACGTTTATGTAATCTATGAGGCTGGTGAAGTATACATCGGCCCAAGTTAGCTGCAAAAGATTTTCTATTATTTTTACGTTTTTATAACGTGGAAACAAGAATACTTATAAAATATTTCTATGAAATTAAGCACGTAGCTGTCTCATTTACACCCCGTTAAACCGAACACAGGGCAGGGCATAAATGCCTGGACAGGCAGCGACAAGCGAATACGAGCAGCGATGAATATATTTTAAATTGAGTCTATTTAATGCATGTGTCTAATTTTAAACAGAAAATAAATGTAAAATATGAACATCTATTGAAATTATCTGTTTACCTTTGGCAGAGCCAGGTATCCTCCATTTTCCTTAGCTTGAGCTTCAAGTTTTCCTATGTAGTACGGAATAGTCTCATTCATGAGGGTTTCTTGTAATTTTTTCCTCAAGGTTCCATCATGCTCGTAATAAAACTGTGCCACCTCTAAAACGTTAGGATTATTTAGCGATATTTGTCTCACAGATTGCTAGAATTGTAATTTCGATAATCTTGGAAACAAATATGAAATTTTTGAAACTGTGTAACTCGGAATATTAAAGGTTGTACTTACTAATACGTAAATCATTGACAGTTTCAACTGTTGCATCGATTGTCAAATCTTCCCAGTCGTCTTTGCCGGTGAGTTTCACCTTTTTCGCCAAATATCTGCAAATAGCAATGTGTTGGTGTGCCACTTTGCCGTCGCATTCCAGAATTGGCAGTTGGCCATAGGGCATTTCTGAAAAAAAAAACTTTCAGTATAGATGCCATTTTTTCTAAAGGAAATAAGAACTAAATGTTGAAATGGGTGAAATATTACTGAAATTCGATTTTTGTTTGAAAGGGATACATGTGCCACATCGTTTAAGTATTATTGTGAAACTTTTTAATCGTTAATCAAGCGCACCTTCAATATATAGGGTGTCCAAATAGTGTGTCAAAGCTCAATATCTTCGTTACTATTAGAGTTGCAGATAAAAGTTAAATATGAAAGTTGTAGGCAGAGCTAAGGGTTTCAACCTAAAATTATTTTTGGCTATACAGGGTGACCCATAAATTAGTGGCAATATAACATGTATTTTTTAAATGGGACACCCTGTGTTTCTGTTGATTTTACATGATCAGATTTGTACTGGGTATTTCGGAATATAAGGCCACTGTTTCGTTAAAATCATTATACATATGTCTTCCTGTATCTTAAATACACTTTAAATAAAATTTGTTTTAGATATTATACTGAGATAGAAACAGTGATAGATAATTTTTTTGAAAAACCCAAAGGATTTCAAAAAGCTTTGTACCGACGGTAACAATTTTTTTTAAAAGCGTGAAACAATTTTTGGTGTAAATTTCCTGTCAATGTGCGAAGATTCAATCAAATATTCGGTTCCTCCATGGTAATTAATGAACCTTTGATCATTCTAAAAGCAAAAAACCACTTACTTGGTTTAAGGTCGGGCCAGTCCTTGTATTTGATCCTAACATCTTCAAATTCCAAACTTCCATAGCTCAGCAATACTCTGATAGGTTCCCCTAGAGCATTGAGATCAAAGTATGTTACTTTATAGCTGGGAGCCATTTTTCATCTACAAATCACACACGCTACAGAGAAACAAACGGTACAACTCGATGGCTTGCGGGTAACTAATTTTGTCTGAATTCTGAATAACTGGACTGCTTTATATGTGGATGTAAGCGGTGATGTGTCGCGTGTGCAGCAACAATGATAAGGATGACTGACATCTAAAGGAAATCATAAATAATTATGTTTATTGTAGTTGATAACAATAAACGAATGAGTATATACCGGGAGTGTTAGGAATTCGACTCTCAACATATTCGGCGCAGCTGCCCCCCCTTTTCATTAACTCAGCAAAAATTAAATGGAGAGAACATTTTTTACAAAGATTAAATTATTCATGTACAGGGTTCTTCTTAAGCTAAGTCGATATCTATTGGATAAGAAATTACTAGAATTAGTTGAAATCTATGTTAGACGTAAACTTAAATTTGCTAAATGCACTATACAGAGTTTCCTGGATTCACTTCTCGATACAGGGATCTCGGCTCCTGTTATACCTGCACCGAAAGCTAAACGGGGAAAGTTTCAGAGGAAACTTAGTGCATTCGTTAGTCGGTTTCAGATTTACGATCGGTCAATGTTGTATGACATGACTCAATCGTCTTTTATTTTACCACAACCTATCTCAACTTTCATTTTTCTTATAGCCGCCATATTGGATTTTTCGGTTTTTAAAAAGAGCGTAAAATTTCCAGTCTAGTGATGTCTCCCAAGTGTATAAAAGAATGGAGTATCACGGAAATATCATCACACGTAATGTTATGTATTAGTTTTTTCTAAGGAGGCCAAAATTTATTTGTCAGAAAATAACATTATCAGTAAAGCATAAAAATCACATAAACACCTCAAATTTTCAATAGAATATTAACGTTAATATCGACTTCTCAACAATTCAAATGTTTTGGGTCAAATTCCCAGCTATGATGAATGTTGTGCTTATTAAAAACTCCACAATTCGTAAATCTACTCTCATCGGACCACAAGGCATGATTTAAAAAATCGGGATTTTCATTAGACTTCCTAGCATACCACTCACAGAACCGCATTCGCCTTGGAAAATCTGTTTCGTTAAGTCCTTGAATTATTCTAGGCTTGTATGGGTGGTACTTATTCTTATTTAACACTCTCTGTAATGTTGATTTTGACACGCCAATTTCTCGTTCTGGAAGAACTTCCTCCAAGAAATGCCGGTAAATAGGTCCTGTTAACCGTTCCGGTGAAAGGTATGGCCCAATCAAATAATCATCAACAATGCCTGCCACACGTTGACAGACCAACGTTGCTGATGTTTTCTATGATAAATTGCATGGAGATTTTCTTTGTCCAAACGTGGCTATTCCTACTATTAAAAATACCATAGTGTAAAAAATTTGGTTCTGCAGCGATTTGATGAAGAAGCCATTGACAAAATTGAACTCTAGGATGACGATCGGCTGCAGTCAATTCGTGGTAAGGATAAAGTTGTTGCTCGTGTATCACCCGCCAGACGGAAGCGTTACTCGTATTTCGTATTCATATCCTCAGCAATGTGACGTATGCTACTTGATGGTTCGTCGGCCACTCGCTGAAGGACCTCTTCTTCAAATTCGACCGTGTTTACGGTTCGAGCAACACCAGTATCATGCATGTTGGTTTTAAACATGCCTGTCTCGGAGAGCCGCCGATGAATAGCAATGAACTTTTTGTATCCCGGATGCTATCGTTCGGGATAACGTTCTTGATACAACCGCGCTGCTGCTCGTGCACTACAGCTTGTTGCTCCGTATGCCAAATGCATATTTGCCAATTCTTGATTGGTAAAATTTTCCATTAGCAACAATTAATTTTAGTTAAATTCTTGCAAACTTCACGACTAAGGCGATATGGAATGCAGCTAAAAAAAACAATCGCTGTTATCGTTTTTAAAGATAACAACACACAAGCGCCGGATATGGGTCCCTATACTCAAATGTTTTCTACTGTTACACTGAATAACCCCTACAAGTTTGATCCCATAGTTCTGAAACCCTGTGGTCTGTACCATCAACAACTACTGACGTTCAGCTACATGGTCAATAATGATAAATATATGATGGGGATTACTTTAGGGGGGCAACTCGCGTAGTAAATAAAAAATGAAAATGAAACTTGCGGTGATTCAAAGTATTTCCGAATTTAGTTGCATCATTTATGTTAACCGCTTATAGGACTCGTCAAAAGGAGTTGATATACTAAAAATCACCTATATAAAGGTTACATAATAAAAGAAATAGTAGAAGATTAAAAAATTTAAAAAATAAGACTGTTATTACACATATTTTTTTGGAATTCTCGTCCACTGCGGTATAAAATCTCAGCGTTTTTTGTTCACTACTCTTATCGTTTATCTAAATTTGGCAAACTTTTTGTATTATTGTATGGTTTTCAGTACGAGTTTTTGGTTCGATCAGTTGTATCAGTCTTTTAATAGTGTAAAGGTTCACTTTAAGAGATCATCCGGCCCCACAGATGTTTGTAAACTTATAGTTATTAGACTTCGTGACACAGGATATTTAAAGGAACAACGAGGAGGTCACGCTGGAAGACCTGCTCAACCTGGAATGTTACAAATTGAGGAAGACATTATAGAAATAGCAGCTCAAGTTGAAGTTTTTCAAGGCGATTAGCGTGGGTTAAGGAACGGGCAGTGTGGACTTACGAAGACTGGAAAAAGATTATTTTTAGCGATGAATCGAAATTTTATGTTTATGTGGGTGACCACCGATCCCGGATTATAAGAAACAAAAATGAAGTGTTTCATAAAGACTACCTAAAGAGGAAAGTAAAGTTTCCATCAGTCGTCATTGTGTAAAAAATATATCGCTGGGGAGCTTTCGTATTATTCCTCGATGCATGTACGATTACTGTTAAGAAATGCCTTCAGAAAAAAATGGCATATGAAACTTTTCCTACTATAATTACACCTAATTAAAGAATTCCAAGAGCCTACTATAATAATTTCAATGAATTGATAAATATAATTAACGCATCATCCCACTATACATTTAAAACAACAATCCCATTGTCTGACTCTTTGATCAACGATAAATAAACATTAAAATGCTTTATTATCCATTGATAAGAGGATAATAGGGTGTTAATAAGGTTCCTAAACGATATGGGAAAACCAGTGATGGGCGCTTACGCGTATACATTAATTGTCTGCGTCTCGATGTAAACAATGAATACAATGTATATATTGGGTATACAATGCATGCAATGTATACAATGATGAAGACAATGTATAGAATAGCATAAGTGAGGTTAGGTTTATTCGCAAACGTCAGAAAGTTGGTAAACAGTGAACCGACAACTTAAAAAAAATATGGTTGGACGCTCCAAGAACAAAGAAATCGATGAACTAGGGTTCATTTGTTGCTCTTAATTTACTTAAAACTGTATCTTTGTATGCGTATATGAATAAGTATTATATATTTTTTCATTATAAACTGCTTCCACAGTCAAACCAATAATGCAATGTTGCAGAATTTGTATCTATCCTGAACTTTCAGTTCCACCTAAAATCGGAGAACCAGGATCGATCTGGAATTGATCCCAAATAGATTTGACAGAAATGTGTATTTGAGCGTAGAAAACAAGGCGTCGCAGCAAGTTACAATTGTGTTCTGTGGCCTTCATCACTGTTGTGCTAGGCAACGTGGTGTGTGGTGCACTCTTTCTACACAAGTAGTGCCCGCTTGTCCCTTTCTCTCTCTTTCTTGTACACATGCAAACCTAAAAAAGAAAGGGACTTTCGCCAGCACTATATGCAAGTAGTTGAATTATGATTTGCTATTGTAACATTTTATACGTGAATATCGAAACGTATATATTCACCATTGTATACGCGTATACGAGTACAATGGTGTATTTATTATACACCTTAGAAAAAACCATTGTTATACATGGGAAATCATTTCTTGGCAACAGCGTATCGGCTCGTCTACTTTCATCGCTATTCGTACATATTTCCTACCGTTAACCGCAGACCTGTATCACGAATGAGAATAATAGGCAGATACGCTGTGTTGCCAATTTGAGTAGAGCTTCCCGAATTGTGGGGAATTTAGAGTTAAGTGTTGATTCATTCAAGCTTTTAATCAGCATGGCCTAGACGTTAGAACTTCATAAAGATAACATTGAAGCTGACTGCTGCTGGAGTATAGTGTTTCGAATATTCAAAGCGGAGCGGGACACTATACTCGTTCAATGGGTCATCAAGCCACAGTCTTTTCAACAAAGAAAATGCGTTATATTTTTACGATGTTGTCGTCACCAAATCTCTGTTTCTCAAAATGTACGTCTATTGTAGAATTTTCAGCAAACTAAGCAAGAAACGTGATCTAGTATTTACTCAACATTACGGATTTCTCGAAATACATTAAAAAATGTGACCTAGATACCTAACTGCCCCAAGCTCTTTAAATATAACACCTTAAACCAGGGTTACCAGGTGCTCAGTCACGTTGATTGTCATGTTGTACTGCGCAAGTCAGCAAACAATCTGGCGTAATAAACGTTAGGAATCATCAGGTATTGCCAGAATACCGGGCACCGTAGTAACCGTTATAGTTGTCCTTCAAAGTTGTCAAATCGCCCCTATGGCGCAAATTCGCCACACCAGGCAACTGTGCTATAAACAAACCCTGTTTATCACTACTATTTGATAGTCATATGGTAGTTGTAGCCCTATCTAGCAGTCCATGATTTCTCTCAATACTGTTGTATCTCTACTGGCAACAAGAATAGGGATTACAAAATCATTTATACAACAATATACAAACATGAAAAATATGATTTGAACCATGAAACATTAATACAATTTTAAGGGTTTGAACTTTTTTCATTTTTGGAATACTCTTATGTGGAATCCGCAGTTATTTTTCCCGAAATTTGGGTAGACTTAGATTTCTTAGAAATATGACATATTGGTATCGGCAACTCTGCGAATGGGAGAAACAAATCGCATTTGTTGAGCGCATCCGTCTAAGCGGTAGGCGCCAGCGCCCGTTCTGCCATCTCTCTCTTTTATCACTCTTCTACTTTACCCCGTTGTCCGTCACCCTCCGACGCTGCCAGATAAGATCCTACAATCGAGTGTCTTTCACGCACCTACATACTTTTGTATATTTCCATCTCTCTTCCTCATCATAATGTATAATAATGGTTTTTCCCATACTGTATATGTACTTCATGGACATCATAATCAGTAATAATTTTCTCACATAGCAAATATCACTGATTTTATACTCGTGCGATATTTCTACTCTGCTACTCCAATTTTCTTTATCACATTGAGAGATACACTCTACAGACTATCTCGACATTCCGGGGAACTAACTTGCATCTTGTCATTGCTCCACATATGACGCTTTTGGTGACACTCAACGCGCTCATAGCGAGCAATAGTGGACTGAACTATTTGCACACTCGGAACGTGCTAGGTGCTAGGAACTATCTAGTCGGTAAGTTGACATTAATCAAATTCAAGCGGATAACCAAATGGAAATGGTAATTACCATTTTGGATTGGTATTTACCGATCCGTTCAAGCGAGTGTGGTTATCAGTCTGGTTATAAGATCCATGACGTCATGAATCAGCTGTTATATGTCATAGTTATCACCGCAAAATTGTGGTATTTACTCAACTCCGGCGTAGTTTTATATTTCTGGTTATTATTTGACATGTGACAAGTTAGAATTTTGCCGGGTATTGGATATTGTTATTGTACTTCAGCTTCATTTTTGGGAAACTTGATACAGGCTGACTTCAGTTTTAGCATAAGAGAGCACCTTATTATTTATAATCATAATCATCACTGTTGTTGGGGACACTTTAAACCTAGTTCCTACACTTAAAAAAGTATCCTGTATAGCCATATACCACAAGAATATTAAAATATGGCCGTATAAACTCATTGGATGATGTCCACCTGTATACGGTTTTGTTAATATCTCTTTTTCATCATTTCTGCTAAATCAATAAATATTTTCTTTGACATGCGGAAAAGATTAGAGAATTGAAAGTTATCATAGCTACAAAGCCATGGTTCCATCAGTAAAATTTTTTTTCGGAAAAAAAAAACATTCCTCCCATTAATATTATGAAAGTTTTCTTTTTTTCAACTTTCCATACCTCGTTGTAGACGAAAAAGTGCCGATTATTAAGTGATAATAAAAATAATCAGAAATTATATACGCGCTTTTCTAAAATAAACAACTTGCAACAAACCGCGGTTAAAACCAACGCGTTCAAGCGATTCGAGTAACTGACGTCACCATCTTGTGTGTCATCTTGAACCATATTATAACCGCGGTACATAATACGGAAATTTTGGTTATCCGCTTGGATTTGATTATTTTGTCGTTTTTTTGACATTATATAGGTTTTATACGTAATAACCCTGCCGTGTCTTCCAGTGACATATGAATCAAATTCAAGCGGATAACCAAATGGAAATGGTATTTACCATTTTGGGTTGGTATTTACCAATCCGTTCAAGCCAGTGTAGTTATCAGTTTGGTTATTAGATCCGTGACGTCACGAATCAGCTGTTATATGTCATAGTTATCACCGCAAAATTGTGGTATTTACCCAACTCAAGAGTAGTTTTATATTTCTGGTTATTATTTGAAATGTGACAAGTTAGAATTTTGCCGGGTATTGGATACTTTTATTGTACTTCAGCTTCATTTTTGAGAAAAATGATACAGGCTGACTTCAGTTTTACCATAAAGTGGAGCACCTTATTAGTTATACTCATTACGGTTGTTGGGGACACTTTAAATGTAGTTCCTATGCTTAACAAAGTATCCTGTGTAGCCATATACCACAAGAATATTAAAATATGGCCATATAAACTCACTAGATGATATCCATCTGTATATGGTTTTGCTAATTTCTTTTTTCATCATTTCTGCTGAGTCAATAAATGTTTTCTTTGACATGCGGAAAAATTTAGAGAATTGAAAGTTATCATAGCTATAAAGCCATGGTTCCATCATTAAAAAAAAATCTGAAAAAACATTTCTCCCATGAATAGATATTATGAAAGGTTTATTATTTAAACTTTCCATATACAGTTGTAGACGAAAAAGCACCGATTATTAAGTGATAATAAAAATAATCAGAGATTATATACGCGCTTTTCTAAAATAAACAACTTGCAAAAAAAAACGCGGTTAAAACCAACGCGTTCAAGCGATTCGTGTAACTGACGTCATCAACCCGTGTGTCATATTGAACCATATTATAACCGCGGCACATAACACAGAAATTTTGCTTATTCGCTTGGATTTGATTATGGTTTGGTTTCACAGGTGTATAATTTATTTTGTGGGTTCACTTTCACGTGGCCACCTATTTCACGAATATCCATCACATTTTGACGTCTACGTATACTGAGGTGAACAGCTGATCAGCATGTCACATTTTTGTGTTAGTCTGCAACGTTGGCAATAACGAATCAGGTATAAATCTAGTAAAACTTGTTTGTGGCGTTTTGTTTTTGTATGCAAATGAATTCTTCTAAATAAAAGAGCTATTAGCAAGTACAAAATAAATCTGTAGCTTACAAAAAACCAAAATGAAATGCGGCTTTGTCTACTTGGCGTTGACGGGTCCTTTAGAATTATGTGTCATGTGCCGATATGGGAAATTTTGAGGTATGACCAGATAACCAGATGTCATTCTACCGTGATGCATACTCGTGAAATATGAATCAAATTCAAGCGGATAACCAAATGAAAATGGTATTAACCATTTTGGGTTGGTATTTACCGATCCGTTCAAGCGAGTATAACCATACTGTTTGGTTATAAGATCCGTGACGTCATGAATCAGCTGTTATATGTCATAGTTATCACCGCAAAATTGTGGTATTTACTCAACTCATGAGTAGTTTTATATTTCTAGTTATTAGTTGAAATGTGACAAGTTGGAATTTTGCCGGGTATTGGGTATTGTACTTCAGCTTCATTTTTGGGAAAGTGGAGCACCTTATTAGTTATACTCGTTACTCATTACTGTTGTTGGGAACACTTTCAATCTAGTTCCTATGTTTAACAAAGTATCCTGTGTAGCCATATACCACAAGAATATTAAAATATGTCCATTTAACTCACTGGATGATGTCCACCTGTATACGGTTTTGCTAATATCTTTTTTCATCTTTTTTTCATCATTTCTGCTAAATCAATAAATGTTTTCTTTGACATGCGGAAAACTTTAGAGAATTGAAAGTTATCATAGCTACAAAACCATGGTTCCATCATTAAAAAAAAAATCTGAAAAAACATTTCTCCTATGAATATTATGAAAGGTTTCTTATTTAATCTTTCCATACACCGTTGTAGACAAAAAAGCACCGATTATTAAGTGATGATAAAAATAATCAGAGATTATATACGCACTTTTCTAAAATAAACTACTTGCAACAAATCCTAGGTTAAAACCAAAGCATTCAAGCGATTCGTGTAACTGACGTCATCAACCCGTGTGTCATCTTCAACCATATTATAACCGCGGCACATATATATATATATATATATATCGGTACCGGCGACCTTTCCCGGTGACTTGAATGGTCGCCGTTAGTCCCGGCGACCTGATTATCCAAGAAGCAGCGACCCAGATCGCTGTTTGGAAGTATCGGTATCGGTAACCACTGATCGGTAGCTGTAACGTTGTTTCGGTCGCGGTCGCTGCCAGGAAGCATATACACATCGCGTTCGCGATCATCGCGCGGGAAGTACAGAGTAGCCTAACCTATTTTGTTAGTTTTTATTGTTATTGTTGTGAGTTCCTGTTTCATAGAAAAATGTTTCGTTTATTAAGCAATGTTTAACATATAAAAGAAGCATTTTTATACTGAATTTGTTATGTTTTAAAAGTTTTACCTTTTAAGATTCATAGAAAGATTTTTTTATGATTCTGTGCTCAATATTGTTAAAAACAAAAACCTTAAATATAGTTTAATTCAAATCTTCAGGAACCTGAACATCTACACCTCGTTAATATCAATGGATAACCGCCGCCAAATATCGAGTAATTTAATCAGCGCCAGGGAGTCGCTGGCTGCTGGCAGCGACCATAGATAAGCAGTGACCTAAAGCGCTGCTAAATCTACCGGCGACTTTAAGGTCGCTGTCACCGGTATCCCGGCGACTTGCAAGTCGCTGCTAAGATCATCTCTACGCCAGATCCCGTAGTGAACCGGAGCGCGAACAGATGGAATTTCCCCTTCCTCTCCAAGTTTTGACAGTTTCAAGTTACACCGGGAGTGGTTAGATGGCGAATGTTGCGCAAAATGTTTGCTTTAAGCTCCTTGTTTGAATCTGAAATAAAAATACCGATCATTTTTTGTCCAATATACATATTATATCAATAAAATCAATCATTTGATATGACAAGTGCGGTTCATACATCTTGGATGACCTTCTCCCTCGTCATTTAAAATCAGGTGGACGTGTTCCATTTTTGATTTAATAATTTAACTCATTTTTTGGCACTGGGAAGACAAATTTTCAATTGTGATGCCTGCTTTTTAAATGAAATTGACATAAGACCTGTCACCCGCTAGTACCTCACAGACGTTAGGCGGGTACCCGTATCACGTGATTTTTTGACATTCGGACGACTTCACATCTGTCTTCCCCTATTCCCGTTCTTCACGAAAATTTGAGTATCGGTTCCCGGTAGTGCAGTGCTATACCGTGGACTCGCGAAAACATCCTTACAGACGTTAGGCGGGTATCCGTACCACGTGATTTTTTGACATTCGGACACGTCACATCCTTCTTCCCCTTAAGGTACGGTCTCGTTGATGCGGCTCGCGACTGCGATTGAGTCGCAGCAACGACTGCGACTACAGTCGCGGCACTGGTTTTACACAATTTATGCATATACGGTTTGGTTGACGCCGTTCAGTCGCAGACCGCTACGATCGAGCCGCAGCAGTTGCGACTCGACTGCTCCTGGACCAGTCAAATCGCAGTCGTTCAGTAAAAATAGAGAAATTCAATGCAAATGAGGATGATATATTGATTGAAGAGGTTCAAAAATATCCCGCTATTTTTGATTACGAGCATGAAAACTACAAAAATTTTATATGCAAAGAGAATGCCTGAAAAAAAATAGCATGTTCGGTAGGAAAAAGCAGTAAGTAACATTAATTTACTTTATTTTCTAATTATGAACGTTTGTTTTTCCTTTTTTGGCTCAGTTTCATAGCCATCAAATAATTTATATATAGTCTATTCAAATTCAATAAAAGTTCGATGTAAACAAAATAATGTACGTTCGAGTCACGGGAACTGCAATACCGGCGACTGGTGATCGATTAAAGACTGGCGCTGTCCAAGGGGTTGAGTTACCTTTATCACTCGTATTGAATATGGGAGAGGAAAGACAAATGGTTGCTTGGATTTTGGCCTGAAAAATTTCGATCCTCCTGCATAGAGGGCATTTATTGCTTGCCAACCAATAATACATGGCCATGCCGTCACGGCATGCTGCAATCATCCGATATCGCTTGTTTACATCCTACTTTGATTGAAATTGAATACACTCTAGTTGGGAACACCATGTACCGCGTATTTATTTGTTTTATTTTGAAACTCATTTTATTCTAGGAATTTTTATAAAAAAACAAATTTTCATGTAAACATTTTTTATTAGGTTTTTCTTGTGATCCCTGTTTATAATAACAATATACATTGAAATCAGTATAAGGTTGTAATATCATAATAATGGATTGCTGACATGTACAGATTGTCTTATACTTTCGAAACCTGCTGATTTTGCCATTCGACAATCCCTTCCTGTGAGAAAAACCTCATAAACTCATCTCTCACATGGAACCCTTCAACGTTTTGATATCCCCCCGCTCCTGTAAGATTCCGAAAAACATTCGAGTTTTCTTCTTTTGAATCATATTCATAGTAGGGAACCCCTTTTCTTTCCAAATATGCTTCTCGCAATAAATTATGTAAACAACAGGCGGCTAATATCAAGTCATCACATACCTCTGGTTTTACAGCTATAGGAGTATAAAACACTCTGAACACCTGAGATAGCAAACCAAAAGCATTTTCACTCACTCTTCTTGCCCTACTCAAACGGTAATTAAAAATGGCTTTTGATTTATCAGCAGTGGCTGCCAATTTAGTGAACGGTTTCATTAAGTGTTTATCCAAACGAAACGCCTCATCTCCGATAATTACATGCGGCAATACTTTATTTGATTTAGGCAATTTTTGATCTGCCGGAAAAAAATTCTGAAAGTGCATTACTTTTTTTCCAAAAGCTGATTTATTAAATATTGAGCTGTCACCTTCTTTTCCGTACGACCCTACATCTAAAGCAATAAACTTACAATTTGCATCAACTAAAGCAAGCATAACAATGGAAAAGTATTCTTTATAATTAAAGTATAAAGATCCAGATTGTGCTGGAGCAAATATTCTAACATGCTTGCCATCCAAGGCTCCAATACAGTTCGGAAAATCCCATCGTTCCCAAAATTCTTCAGCTTTTTTGGTCAATGCTTCCTTTGTTGGCGTTGGAATAAAAATGGGCACCAATTGTTTACATATTGCTGATAAAGTTTCTCGGATGATTACACTTATGTAACTGTGGGAGATTCTAAAAGCAAATCTAAGAGATCTGAAAGACTCCCCAGTTGCCATATACCTAAAACAACATAGAGACTTAGGACACACGTCATGTTTCCAAAAATATCATAACGCCTGTCTGGAGATTGCCTGCCCAAAAATAATATTGAAGAACGTATTGTACCCTCCTTAAAACTAATAATGCATTTTTGAATTCTTTTAGATAACCAATCTCCAGAGATGCACATCTTTTGAAAAACAATATAATAAAAATTCTTTAATTGGACTTAAATCTAATTCAAAGGGTGTAAGTTGAAAAGTATGTTTTGTTTTTTTTTTCGTAGGTGACGATTGCAAAAGGCGATGGAGAAACATCAAGGATACCTATTTTAGAAACAGAAAAAAACGTAAATTGGGGACCGGTTCAGCAGCATCTGAACGAGTAATAAAGTGGACCCTTTACGATCGGCTTTCCTTTCTTGATGTTATTAAGCATGAACGAGAATCAAAAAATACCTTGACGGAAGAAGAGGAAACTCCAGCTTACAGCGAGACGGACTACGAAACCCAACCAACCGATGAATCAACATTAGACGATTCTGATTTACTAGACGAATATTCAACCCCATCCACATCTCGTCGAATTTCAGACGCAATGAAATTGAATAAAGGGCTGAATAAGAATCCTTTTCAACAAAACTGTGGGAAAAGATCGCAGCCCCGAGTGTCAAAACTAAATACCATGGCTCAATTTGAAGAGAGAGCTCAGAAGCGAATGGAGCTCCTTGAAACTATCCACAAAAAAAACATTTCAAATTCAGAAGATGACGTAGATTTGTTCATGAAAAGCATTAGCTTCACCGTTAAAAAATTTCCACCTGCTGAACTGAATGAAGCAAAACTTGGTATCCTAAAACTCGTAAGCGATCTTCAGCTCAAATTAGCAACACAAAATTCATCTCAACAAACTCCAGCACATAGTTCACAACCAACCTCACCTGCCGATAGATCAAATTCACATTCTTTGGGTACAAATCAATATCAACTAAATGGACCTTTCAATCTGACTGAGACTACGTCACATACTACTGCTAGTACTAGTCAATATAAACTACAGAATGGATCTTTTCATCTGGCTGCGACTGAGTCGGATAATATTGCTGGTTCATATTTTAAAAGCTATAACCCAGAACAACAGAATTCATCAATTTCAAATGTTTCTTAATTCATGGCCTCGGAGCAAAACTCGGAATACGAACTACGATACCAGCAATTAAATTAGTTACATTAGTTAGTTTTGGTTAGATATGTTGTATTCTAAGCTCATAATATATTTTGTGTTCTAACTGTATCTTTGTTTTTGCTCAATTTTTTTCTTTCCTACCTTAAAGTTAGCGCCAGCTTTTCCTCTGCTGTTATTGGAAACTTTACACAATTCGTTCCAGGCTTTTCTATATCCTCTTGTATGAGTGACAGAACAAAATCAAATTGCTCGGGATTTAACCGGAAAAATTCTCTAAATTTTTTTTCGTCCTCTTTTTAATGTCCGTTTATGAGTAGACTAAAAAATCCTTCTTCTGTACGTTTTTGGAATATATCGTGTTTTTCACATCTTTGTTTTTCTAATAACTTCAGTTGTAGCCATTCATCTTCTTCCTCTTCTTCTAAGAGAATCACACTTAACAGATCACTATTATTCATTTTCTACGACTTAGACCTTCCATATCATACAGCAAGATCTTTTAAACCAATCTAAATCGCAATCGCTTTCATTTAGAGACGCACTAAAATAAAACACTCTACATTGCGGCTGCGACTGCAGCCAATCGTAGTCGCGAGCCGCAGCCGCTCGAGCCGCACCAACGAAACCGTACTTTAACCCCGTTCTTCGCGAAAATTTGAGTATCGGTTCCCGGTGGTGCACTGTGCTACACCGTGGACTCGCGAAAAAATCCTTATAACCGCGGCACATAACACAGAATTTTTGGTTATTCGCTTGGATTTGATTTAAGTGATTATAAAAGACAAAAAATTAAAACAGTAGTAAAACAAAAAAACAATTTCATTTAATTATGAAAAACAGTAAATTAAAAAGCAATTTGGATGGAATGAAATTGTTCTTCGTTTTACTACTGTTTTTACTTTTTGTTTTGATTTGTCACTTAGAATTGCTTTTTATCCAACATGGAATTGCTTTTTTTTTGTTTTACTATTTTTATTTTTTTTATAATCGCTAAGAATTGCTTTTTATTTTATTGCTGTTTGTTATTTTTTGATTTTTATAATTACATGGAATTAGTTTGTTTTACTACTGTTTTTATCTTTTGTTTTTTATAATTATTTATAATTTATCATCTTTTAGCTTACAACTGTTATTTTTTGATTTATACTACTACTAATGTTTTGGGAAAATTTTTCATGAAAAGCGTGCTTCATCAGCACTTTTTTTGTTTCCAAATAATCTAACAGAATACCCTCTAAAAGTTTTAAGAGACAAAACAGTGAAATAGGAAGTTCTACAAGACACAACAGCACCTAAAAAAAGAATATAATTGGCAATGGCAGATCAATAGAATCAGTATATTTTTCTTATACATTAAATCTACCCAACCTTATGCAATAAAGTGGAACAGGACAAGGTGTTTTTAGCACATTAATGATCCATCACTTATAAAGTAAAGCTTTGGAGCTCTTTATTTATTCAGATTCTTCATCTGAATTATCATCACTTCCATCTTCATCACTCCCTTCTTCACTCATTTCTCTATCTGATGAAGTGGGTTTGTCTATATACCCATGCTCAAATAATTTTTTCTCCCACACCTCAAGTACAGAAGGATCTGGTGCTTCAATACCAAACCGTGTTTTGAAGTTCTGTTTAATCTTCTCCATTGAATGTAAGTTGAATTCCCTTTCATGCATCCAAACTGCTGATACAATTTTCTGCTCAGGTGTATATTCCTTATCACTTGCATCTTTTGGTTTTGTCTGAGTATTAGAATCTTTTTTTCCTTGAGATTCATTAATTGTAGTTGCTATTGCAACATCAACATCTGAGTCAGCTGTTACAGTTTCTTCATCATCAGTTACTGCAGACATTTTACGTAATTGTCCAGGACATCTAGAATTTCAGACAAAATGTATTCTTAAGGATAATTGAAAATGTACTTCATCCAGAGAGACAAACATTTTGCTGGGTCACTTTTTTACTAAGAGTTGAAAATAACTGTTCTCATATTAATAAAGAAATTAATTACATCTTTAAAATGAGTATTTCATTATGTTCAATTTACAGTAAATTATTTATCCCAAAATTTAATATTATTTTTGAGGTTTCTACCAAAAAATACAACAGAACATGAAATAATAGCCGGAATTTGAAATTTGTAGTCCACTTACAATAGTACCTCATAGTATGTCGAATATATACAAAAAAGCTGAGAAAAAGTGATTTTCATCTTTGATGTTAAATAAAAAAATGAACCAGCTAAATCATTTTTAGGATATAAACATGATCCATTTTTGGCTAGTTAACCCAATGAACTGGGACTACGTAGAAGGAGCATGTATACGATTTGTTTGTCGCAAAAGCAGTTTAAATAATTTTTGAATAAGAGCAAGTCTCTAATTTTGCATGGCCAAAGAAAGCAACATTGAGGTACTCCATATTCTATCATCAATCACACCTCAATCCAAACAGCAATTAAGCCAAAATACTGTTGCTGTAAATGCAAATATTTACTCAGCAACTAAACTACATTCATAATCCTCAAGTGACAAAAGCAACAGGCAAAATTTCGTAACTTAAGTAAATTTTCAATCTCAGGAGATATTGATTCCAAAGCATTGATAATAACACTCATCAAGTGGGAGCTGAATCATTAGCAAAACTGGTTAAAAGAAGAAAGAAAAAGCAACATGGCAGAATAGGCACATGGGTAATGCCCCTGGAAGTAATGAAGATACATTTGTGGGTACTGTAAAGAAAGCAGAGGAGAAAAGTGTATCTGAAATATTTGTTAAGAAAGGTGAAGATTTTCATGAAGTAAAAGACAATAGCTGTTATATAATAGGCATCCACCCAAAGTACAAACATATGGTACATAAAGATAACTTCTGCACTTCAGATGTGTTTATCACATACACTGTACATGGATCACATACACTACCCATATTACACAGGATAACAAACATTGTATTCAGAAAATACCAAATGCATGTCTTCAATACCCATATAAACTTAACAATTGAAACCATGCCACTAATTGGTCTTCTGCAGAACAAACATGCTTTTTTCACTTTAGTTGCTTTTCATTTAAGGTCAAGTACGATACCCCATTAAATCCTGAACGAATTTATCAGTCAAAAAGAGGATATTCATAATGTAAATACAAGAAATAAAAAAGTGCCGTCTATACGAATACACACCATGAACTTCTTTAAAAGCTGCTTCATGTATCAGGTAGCATAATATATAGGTATACAATGGGTTGAAGGTCTAGTCTTATCTTTATTATCATTATTCTTTTTAACAATAGCTGAGTTATTCACATGGCAACACAGATTGTTGTATGTGAGTACAACCGGTATGAATAGCTACTTGAATATTCTTTCCAGAGAAAAGATGCTTCGCCGATGTATTCGTATGTCACTTAGCAATGGTGGTCAAATTACGCAACAGTATGCACCAAAACTACACAATTTTGCGACAAACAATCCTATGTAAACATGGCTTGTCTCAGAATCTATGAATATATATGAATTCGTTGAGTTAACCTGATTTATAATAGGATTTGGACTAAGAAGGGTGACAACAACAAAACATGATACAGGCGATTATAGTCCTTTTGAGTTTTAAATGCCAAATAACCTGGGATCCTGGGAACTGCCGAAAATGAAAAACCAAAACAGGGAATCAAAGTATCACAATTGAGGTTATGAATAGTGAATCACAAACAATGAACTGTCAACACTGATGGAATCGCCCCGTCCCATTTGTACAATGAAACGATAATGCGGCCAACATACGACAGAGATCCGCGAGAGAGATGGAGCTAGTCAGGGCAAAAAGCGCGCGGACTTGAATGAATTGCATAGGAAACCGTGGATTCTTAGAGACGATTTAAAAGTTATTCAGCCAACTGGAACGAGATAAAATCCTGGAAACGTAATTATAATTAAAAAACCAAGTTTATTTATTTATATATACATATGTATGAAACTTGACAATAAATTCTCCTTTACACATTTGAAGTTATAAAAATTGTGGTAGAACATTTTTTCCAAATATTTTTCTAACATAGTTGTATGCTAATGATGAATAAAAATTCAATGTTAGTGCAAAACACCTTAATTCTGGGCTATACCTGTTAGATTTTCCTTTTTTCAACTGTCTGAAAAGCAGTTGCTTTTGGGTTTCAGGGAGACTTTCTTGTAAAAACAAATGCATCATAGTTTTAAGCTAAAAATTTCATGCACTAAATGTAAAACCTAAATACTGTGATGCTAAAATGATCACTTTAGCTAGTAATCAATAGATAGTCAACAGAGTTCAACAATTGAAATGAAAATTTTACAAATGAAAATAAACTACAACAAAGTAACAATTGTAGCAGCAAAGTATCTGTTCATCAAATGTCTACTTTAAATACTATTGACTGAGCTGCAGATATTCTCTTCTCCTTAAGTAGTTCATCTACCAGACTATTCAGACTTTTTATTTTATTTCTTTGTCTACAAATTTTACACTGATTGTACTTGTTAATTTTTTTGTACTTATGAACAGTTTCATGAGCAGTTTTCCAAAATCTCTTCTGACGCTGCACATTATTTAAATCAGAGATTTTGAAATCCCCAAAGTATACTGGTGATCTTCTGACCCTACAAACAAAAAGAGGTTGTAACAAATGAGAAACACAAAGTTCAATGACAATTACCTTATATTGCATATGTTTGAAGGTTCACTTGATTCTAAAAATCCTAGATTTTGTGTAACGTTTGAAGGACCAGCTGCCAATATATTTCCATCCTCAGCATGATCGCCATTTTCAGGTTCTTCTACTACTTCCCAAATAGCCAAAGTTTGTTCTAAAAATAATTATGTTACTAAGACCCACTTCATCATTGTAAATATCTTTTTTAAAAGTAGAAAAGTTCAAACCTTAAGCTTAGACTGGGAATGTTTTAAAGAACATACCTGTTGCTTTTGAGTTGGATTCTTCATGTTTTCTTTTCAAAACCCTTCGATGGCTAGGTTCTTGAGATGGGCTGGAAAATCAAACACAGATGGAACTGGCACCTTTTTTAGCACCTTATTTCCATGAACACTAACTTCATAATCCTCTGGAGTGAAATGCTTTTCACAAATTACCGTTGTTGTACTGGGAGTAAAGTTTTCTCTTCTTATAGCATGTAATCACAACTTCCTTATGTTAGGATCTCTAGGTATCCTAAAAATCCAGATATTTCCTCGAATTACCAACTAACAATTAATTCTCACACAAAAATGAATGAGATGATTAAAACCAACCTGTGAAACTTCAGTTTCACATCTTTTCTCCGTCTATTGCAACAATTCACCGGACTGCAAGATTCAACCATTTTTAAACAAATATCAAATAAAACCACAGCTCTTGAAGGCTGTACGGCATAAAAATGTTTATAATAATTGTCGCAAACTATCACAATTAATCTTTAACGTCACTAAAAACAAACATTCACCAAAAATCCTTAGAACATATATGGAAATTTGGAAATACTACAATAGGTACCTTTACATTTACACTCTTTCCTGCGGGACTGGAACGCCCCGTTCCAATCGTGTGCGAAAGTCGGTAACTTCAAAGGCGCGGCGCGGCGTGTACCTACCCAGACAGACGAACACGATTGAACTCGTTCATTTCATTTTGACTCGTCCTACGTTGAGGTACTGTGGTGAATATGGAGTGGCCGAATGAAACGATCGCCGAATTTTTAACTTTGTATGAAGGCGAACCCTCTCTGTGGAATTCGAAAAATGCGGAGCATAAAAACAAAAACGACCAGCATGATGCCTGGCTGCGAATTAAACAGAATTTAAAAGGTGGTACCATACCGTTACAAGAAATTAAAAAGAAAAGGGATTCTTTAATGGGAACCTATAGAAAATTAAGAAGTAAAGTTTGCCAATCAATAAAGTCTGGCAGCGGTGCTGATGAAATCTATAAGCCTGACTGGCCATTTTATAATGTGATGGCCCAATTTTTGAATGATGTGTATACTCCAAAGAAAACGAAGGATTCTGAGGTAAGTACTTTATTTACTTAAAAAATTAATAATTATTTTGCCAGGCAACCGCACCGTTTGTTATAAAATATTCTGCAAGCTGGTCTCTTATATTCTTGGCGGAAAGAGGTGCTCTTCTTGGCCGATTTTGGAGTGGTAGTAGGGAAGCAACTCCATTTTGGTCATCACGCCAAGAACCGGGCTGAATCTCGCCATCATCATTTTCGGTATCAAAGGATCCAGGAGGGGTATATATAAGTCTAGACCTTTTAGACCGTCTCAAAAAATTGTGTAACAATGCACATGTCATCACAATATCAGTTACAATATCTGGTTGTAAAAGCATGGGTTTTCTTAGTACTCTAAACACCGCAGACATAATGCCAAAGACATTTTCAACAATCCGTCGAGCTCGTGAAAGGCGGTAATTAAACACGCGTTCTTTAGATCCCTTATTATGAGTTCCAGCGTAAGGTTTCATCATATTTTCCGTTAGAGCAAATGCACTGTCTGCAACAAATACGTAAGGTAGAGGTGTTACTTTCAGCGGTAAGCAGTCTGGCGGTGGAAAACCCAATTCCTTTCTACAGATTTGTTTATATAAGTTGGTGTTTCTGTATACACCACCATCGCTTATTCGGCCCTGGCACCCACAATCCACAAAAATAAAATTGTAATCCGCGTCGACTAAAGCCATTAATACAACACTGAATGTTTTGTGATAGTTGATAAACTCAGATCCACTATGAATAGGACTTTGTATTAGCACATGTTTTCCGTCGATAGCTCCTAAGCAGTGAGGAAAATTCCAAGTTCTGCGGAATCCTTTCTCTATCCTTAACCAGTCAGATGATGTCCGTGGCAGCTAAAACAAATAGAAATATTGTAAATTATCATGAATATTTCTTATTTTTAGGTCACTGACGACATAGAAGAAATAGAAGATAACCGTGATTTAGATGCCTCTGAAGATAGTAAACAGGATGATGAAGAATCAGTTCAATTTAAAAGACCAAAACCTCTTCCTAAAAAACGTGCTAAAAATATTGATGATATAGAAAATAAAATGAACGAAGCATACGACTATATAAAACAAATGACTCAAAAACCCCAAATCCCGCAAGATGAATGTTCATTATACACACAATTATTGTGCAAAAAATTGAGAGGCTTACCAGAAAATACACGTGAAATAGCGATGTTGGAAATTGATAGATTGATTTTCAATCTGAAGCAAAAAGAACTATCGTCAAACCCACATGCACAAATACTAATCAACCCACCACAGCCCACGAATTTTGGACATTCCGGCAATCTCTACTAACATATCAGCCATCCACATCCTACCATCCATATCCTTCTCCACAGCAATCCCCAACCTATCATCCATCGCCTTCTTCACAGTCATCCCCAAACTATCATCCATTGCCTTCTCCACAGCAATCCCCAACCTATCATCCATCGCCTTCTTCACAGTCATCCCCAAACTATCATCCATCGCCTTCTCCACAGCCATCCCCAACCTATCATCCATCGCCTTCTTCACAGCCATCCCCAACCTATCATTCATTATCTTCTCCACAGCCATCCCCAAACTATCCATCTCCACAGCTGTCGCAAGTCGAAACATCAGCTTCGCAAAGTCTATTAAATGATTTCTATGAAGAGGAGGGTAGTAATTTAATTTAAATGGATGATGTCAATTTCTATTTGTTTACGATTTGAAAAAAATAAATGCTTAATTCTACTACTTACTTTTATTTCTTGTGATAGTTCTTTTATCAATGCTTTACAAACGTCCGTGACACAACTTGAAACTGTTTGGATAGATACTTTGAAAAGATATGAAAGGCTTGTGTAACTATCTCCGGTTGCTAAAAATCTGAGAGCAATTGCAAACCGTTCTTGTACTGGAATACATTTTCTCATATGGGTATCTTGTTTTGCAATGATAGGGCCTATTTTATTCATTAGATAGTTGTAATCTTCTGGTGCCATTCTACAGAAGTTCTCAAATTTTCTGCTCGGTTCTTTAACAAAATCCGATAGCATATCTGATCCATTGTATCTGAAACAAAAATACAATAATTTTTACTAAATTTTCCGGCAGCAAAGTTTCATTTTAAAACGCGCCAAACTTACCAATAGATACCATCAAATATATTGATAGGATTCTTAAAAATTACGTACCTATGTAATTATCTCAAAATACAAACAATGATTACCTTGACCGGCTCTTATTGAACGTTGACATCCACCAGCGTCTCCTCTTCTTGTTTTTGTTAATTTTATTAAGTAAACGATATCCACAAAATAAGACAAAAACGGCTGATGCAACAGCCATGCCTTCTTCTTCAGTGGCATTGCTCCATGGCTGGAGGTGGCAATTCGACTCACAAGACATAGTGCGCTGCGCTAAACAGACTGAATCAAACTGAGGTGTAAAGCCAGAAGGCACGCGCCGCGCCGCGCCGCACAAACGGGTGGCGCGGCGTGTCGCGTGGCGTGTTCTTGCGCGTGGAGCGGCGCGACGCGTAGTAGCACGCGTAGTGAGAAGCCACCATTAGACGTTTGATTACATTTTACTTTCGCGCGGGCAATTGTGCGTAAATTGTGTTCTAGCGTGGGTAAGTATTTTATTGTATATACATATACAAAGTTTCAATTATTTTAATTGTTAGGTAGATAATATGGCAGATACACGATATTGGTCGAAAGAAGTTGTTTCAGAGTTTATTGAAATATATAAATCTTATCCATGCTTATGGAAAATCAAATCCCGAGAATATACAAACAGAAATGTGAAAAATGCTGCTTACGACAAATTAGTCGAGTTTTGTACAAAATTACATCCAGAAGCAAATCGAGATTATGTTGTGAAGAAAATACAAAGTTTTCGTGGTTCTTTTCGGAAGGAATTAAAAAAGATAGAGGAATCCAAGTGAAGTGGAGCTAGTACAGATGAAATTTATACTCCCACATTATGGTATTTCGACTTACTCCAGTTTACTATTGATCAGGAAATACCCACGCAAAGCATTTGTAACATGGAAGATGAAGGAACAGAAAATTCCAACCACTCTACTGAAGAAGAAGTTGAATTTCAAGAGAAAACAGAAGTAAATAATACACAAGTAAGTTTTTTAGGTACTTATTTATTAAAAACAAAAATATACATTAAGCTTTTCCTTTGGCCAACATTTCATCCTGCCAATCAACTTTTCCATCTGAATTGAAATAACTTGTATAATTATCTCGATTAGTTTTCGCAGCTATGGTAGCTACTTTTTTGTTACGACTTTCTAATTTTGTCATATTAACGGCATTTTTTCTAGAAACACCCACCTGTAACTCTTTAGTTATCAGATTTTCTTGATCAAATGATGTTGATGTTGTATAAGAAGTATCACGCTTCCTAAGAAAATTGTGAAGAGAACAAATAGCAAGTACAACGTAACAGATGTTTTCCGGGTTCTTCATATGTATTGGTGTATGCAGAATTCTAAACCTTGCCGCTATCAGGCCAAATGCATTTTCCGAAACATTTCTCGCTCGTGATAGTCTATAGTTAAAAATTCTTTTACTATAAGAAAGATCTCTTTGAGGATACGGTTTTAAAAAGTTTTCATGTAAAGAAAATGCTTCATCGCCCAAAAATACAAAATTGAAATTATTTTCTGTGTCTGTGTTATTTGGCAGATGTAACTGGCCTAAAACCACAAAATTATATTATTCATAATTACATATATACAAGTATAACAACTTACCATGAATTAACTTATGATAAAATTTGGTGCTTTCAATTACTCCTCCATCAGATAATCTTCCATTTTTGCCTACATCGACAAAAATAAATTCGTAGTCAGCATTGACGAGAGCCATTAAAATGATACTATAAAATTTTTTATAGTTATAGTATTGTGCTTATGAATGAGGAGGAGGTACAATACGAATATGCTTGCCATCCAGAGCTCCTCCACAGTTTATAAATTGCCATTTTTGTTCAAATCCATTTGCTACTTCCAGCCAATCCTGCTGCGTAGATGGAAACTAAAATAATATTTTTTTTTAGAAATCTGCAAGTGTTTCATCACAAGTGCCTTCAACATCTCATGCACGTCCAACAAGTCCAACTGCCTTCAAGCCTGCCTCAAATAAAAGAAGTAAGACTTCTAAACAAAATAAGACCCAAACAGACTTCATGAATTACTGCAAGAATCAGCTTGAAAGCAAAAATGAAATTGATGAATTTGATGCAGCCGCAATTTCGTGGGCGAAAAAAATTAAAAAGATGAATCCAACTCAGGCTATTTATGCAGATATGCTTATCAATCAAGTTGTAAATAAAGGATTATTAAACCAATTAACCGAGACAACGATAATTATGCAACAATCACCAGTTCCACTTCCACTTTTCTCACCGCCTAGCCCATATAGTGTTGCTTTATCAAATTCTTCATTACATCGTCCAGAAAGAACATCTCAATTACATGCTTTAGATTCAGCAAGTATAACAGCTTACTATGAGCAAGCTAGTCAGGATTTTAGTAATTAATTTTTTAGTTTATATTCAAGTTTTGTTATCACAAGAAGTTTATTTCAATAAAACAAGTAATCTTACCTTTAAATATGTTTTCCTTAATACTTCATATATAGCTTTACATGTCTCAGGTATAATTTTACATAAAGATGGTGCAGATATTCCACTTGAAAATTTCAAATCTTCAAGCGAACGACCTGTAGCTAAGTATCTCAAAGTAGTTGTTAGTCTTTCTTCGGCACTTATGCTCTCCCGCAATCTTGTGTCTTGTTTAGAAATCATTGGAGAAACCAAATCCAACAAAATTCTAAATGATTCAGAATCCATTCTCAAATAGTTTCTAAAATCCATGGGATAATTATCACGCAACTCATGAAGCAGAGGCAAATGTCCATATCTGTTGCGATTTTCCAACCATGTTTTCACCCAACACTTTCTTTGTCTCTTATTTGGAATATTTAGATACACAGCCAAGCACAAAGCTGCTCTTATTTTCCGTTTCTTAATTATTTTATCCATTATGAAGATAAAAACCGCCTTGAAAACTGTTGAAAATTTCAAGACTCCACATGCCACGAATATCACTCGCGAAAGATGACAGTTTTTGATTTACATTTGCACTTTTATCCTATACCGTTCCACGACACACACTCAAACCGTACGATAAGCAGTTGTAATTTTTAAGACAGTTCGTATTAGGACGCGCCACGCTTGGACGCGCGAGAATTCGCGTGATTGGAACGGGGCGTTCCAATCCCGCAGGAAAGAGTGTAAATGTAAAGGTACCTAATGGACCACGATGTTTTGCCAATGTTTTGCCCTGACTAGCGCTATCCTTCTCGTTTCTCATTCTAGCCGCAATGAATTCGCGTTGCGACTGTTCCATCAGTGTTGACAGTTCATTGATCACAAAACATATACCATAATCAAATCCAAGCGAATAACCAAAATTTCTGTGTTATGTGCCGCGGTTATAATATGGTTGAAGATGACACACGGGTTGATGACGTCAGTTACACGAATCGCTTGAATGCGTTGGTTTTAACCGAGGTTTTGTTGCAAGTAGTTTATTTTAGAAAAGTGCGTATATAATCTCTGATTATTTTTATTATCACTTAATAATCGGTGCTTTTTTGTCTACAACGGTGTATGGAAAGATTAAATAAGAAACCTTTCATAATATTCATAGGAGAAATGTTTTTTCAGATTTTTTTTTAATGATGGAACCATGGTTTTGTAGCTATGATAACTTTCAATTCTCTAAAGTTTTCCGCATGTCAAAGAAAACATTTATTGATTTAGCAGAAATGATGAAAAAAAGATGAAAAAAGATATTAGCAAAACCGTATACAGGTGGACATCATCCAGTGAGTTAAATGGACATATTTTAATATTCTTGTGGTATATGGCTACACAGGATACTTTGTTAAACATAGGAACTAGATTGAAAGTGTTCCCAACAACAGTAATGAGTAACGAGTATAACTAATAAAAATGAAGCTGAAGTACAATACCCGGCAAAATTCCAACTTGTCACATTTCAACTAATAACTAGAAATATAAAACTACTCATGAGTTGAGTAAATACCACAATTTTGCGGTGATAACTATGACATATAACAGCTGATTCATGACGTCACGGATCTTATAACCAAACAGTATGGTTATACTCGCTTGAACGGATCGGTAAATACCAACCCAAAATGGTTAATACCATTTTCATTTGGTTATCCGCTTGAATTTGATTCATATTTCACGAGTATGCATCACGGTAGAATGACATCTGGTTATCTGGTCATACCTCAAAATTTCCCATATCGGCGCATGACACATAATTCTAAAGGACCCGTCAACGCCAAGTAGACAAAGCCGCATTTCATTTTGGTTTTTTGTAAGCTACAGATTTATTTTGTACTTGCTAATAGCTCTTTTATTTAGAAGAATTCATTTGCATACAAAAACAAAACGCCACAAACAAGTTTTACTAGATTTATACCTGATTCGTTATTGCCAACGTTGCAGACTAACACAAAAATGTGACATGCTGATCAGCTGTTCACCTCAGTATACGTAGACGTCAAAATGTGATGGATATTCGTGAAATAGGTGGCCACGTGAAAGTGAACCCACAAAATAAACTATACACCTGTGAAACCAAACCATAATCAAATCCAAGCGAATAACCAAAATTTCTGTGTTATGTGCCGCGGTTATAATATGGTTCAAGATGACACACGGGTTGATGACGTCAGTTACACGAATCGCTTGAACGCGTTGGTTTTAACCGCGTTTTTTTTTGCAAGTTGTTTATTTTAGAAAAGCGCGTATATAATCTCTGATTATTTTTATTATCACTTAATAATCGGTGCTTTTTCGTCTACAACTGTATATGGAAAGTTTAAATAAGAAACCTTTCATAATATCTATTCATGGGAGAAATGTTTTTTCAGATTTTTTTTTAATGATGGAACCATGGCTTTATAGCTATGATAACTTTCAATTCTCTAAATTTTTCCGCATGTCAAAGAAAACATTTATTGACTCAGCAGAAATGATGAAAAAAGAAATTAGCAAAACCATATACAGATGGATATCATCTAGTGAGTTTATATGGCCATATTTTAATATTCTTGTGGTATATGGCTACACAGGATACTATGTTAAGCATAGGAACTACATTTAAAGTGTCCCCAACAACCGTAATGAGTATAACTAATAAGGTGCTCCACTTTATGGTAAAACTGAAGTCAGCCTGTATCATTTTTCTCAAAAATGAAGCTGAAGTACAATAACAATATCCAATACCCGGCAAAATTCTAACTTGTCACATTTCAAATAATAACCAGAAATATAAAACTACTCTTGAGTTGGGTAAATACCACAATTTTGCGGTGATAACTATGACATATAACAGCTGATTCGTGACGTCACGGATCTAATAACCAAACTGATAACTACACTGGCTTGAACGGATTGGTAAATACCAACCCAAAATGGTAAATACCATTTCCATTTGGTTATCCGCTTGAATTTGATTCATATGTCACTGGAAGACACGGCAGGGTTATTACGTATAAAACCTATGTAATGTCAAAAAAACGACAAAATGTCAACTTGCTGACTAGATAGTTCCTAGCACCTAGCACGTTCCGAGTGTGCAAATAGTTCAGTCCACTATTGCTCGCTATGAGCGCGTTGAGTGTCACCAAAAGCGTCATCTGTGGAGCAATGACAAGATGCAAGTTAGTTCCCCGGAATGTCGAGATAGTCTGTAGAGTGTATCTCTCAATGTGATAAAGAAAATTGGAGTAGCAGAGTAGAAATATCGCACGAGTATAAAATCAGTGATATTTGCTATGTGAGAAAATTATTACTGATTATGATGTCCATGAAATACATATACAGTATGGGAAAAACCATTATTATACATTATGATGAGGAAGAGAGATGGAAATATACAAAAGTATGTAGGTGCGTGAAATACACTCGATTGTAGGATCTTATCTGGCAGCGTCGGAGGGTGACGGACAACGGGGTAAAGTAGAAGAGTGATAAAAGAGAGAGATGGCAGAACGGGCGCTGGCGCCTACCGCTTAGACCAGCGCCACCTTCAACTTAGTTGAAGGTGGCGCTGCTTAGACGGATGCGCTCAACAAATGCGATTTGTTTCTCCCATTCGCAGAGTTGCCGATACCAATATGTCATATTTCTAAGAAATCTAAGTCTACCCAAATTTCGGGAAAAATAGCTGCGGATTCCACATAAGAGTATTCCAAAAATGAAAAAAGTTCAAACTATTAAAACTGTATTAATGTTTCATGGTTCAAATCATATTTTTCATGTTTGTATATTGTTGTATAAATGATTTTGTAATCCCTATTCTTGTTGCCAGTAGAGATACAACAGTATTGAGAGAAATCATGGACCGCTAGATAGGGCTACAACTACCATATGACTATCAAATAGTAGTGATAAACAGGGTTTGTTTATAGCACAGTTGCCTGGTGTGGCGAATTTGCGCCATAGGGGCGATTTGACAACTTTGAAGGACATCTATAACGGTTACTATGGTGCCTGGTATTCGGGAATCTGGCAATACCTGATGATTCTTAACGTTTATTACGCCAGATTGTTTGCTGACTTGCGCAGTACAACATGACAATCAACGTGACTGAGCACCTGGTAACCCTGGTTTAAGGTGTTATATTTAAAGAGCTTGGGGCAGTTAGGTATCTATGTAGGTCACATTTTTTAATGTATTTCGAGAAATCCGTAATGTTGAGTAAATACTAGATCACGTTTCTTGCTTAGTTTGCTGAAAATTCTACAATAGACGTACATTTTGAGAAACAGAGATTTGGTGACGACAAAATCGTAAAAATATAACGCATTTTCGTAAAGTAATTTCTTTGTTGAAAAGACTATGGCTTGATGACCCATTGAACGAGTATAGTGTCCCGCTCCGCTTTGAATATTCGAAACACTATACTCCAGCAGCATTCAGCTTTAATGTTATCTTTATGAAGTTCTAACGTCTAGGCCATGCTGATTAAAAGCTTGAATGAATCAACACTTAACTCTAAATTCCCCACAATTCGGGAAGCTCTACTCAAATTGGCAACACAGCGTATCTGCCTATTATTCTCATTCGTGATACAGGTCTGCGGTTAACGGTAGGAAATATGTACGAATAGCCATGAAAGTAGACGAGCCGCGCTGTTGCCAAGAAATGATTTCCCATGTATAACAATGGTTTTTCCTAAGGTGTATTTGCTAAACGAGACGGGTATTTGGGAAGAGAGGTTATGTTATAAATCACGATTTTCCCCGGGTTTTTGCGTTTTCAAAAACTTTGAGAAGCATTACGGAAAATCACCACCGCGCCCGCGTTGTGTGTAATTCAGCCGCATCACAGAAGAAATAGGAATGACGAATCAGACACAAAACATTTTCGCAGTGCCTCACATCTCGGCGCTGATTTGTATTCTCTACTTGACATCGCAAAATACATTTCTATAAAATTCAACTGACTTTAAATAAAAAATATTGTAATATGTAATAACATTTTCACGTGTCATAAATATGTGGCATATTTTCTCACCTAATCTTTATAATATACTTCATTAACCAGGGATTTTCTTTTTTCATCTGTCTTATTTTTGCATATGTAATTTCCAGGATGAATAAGAAAAAGTGGAAGCGCAACTAATTTCTAGCTTTGCATACATCTCAAAAGTGTATTTGAGACAATAAACCAAGGGAAGTATCATCAACACAGATTATTAGCACAAAAACCCTCACTAGGCACCTATGCACTGCCGTTTCCCTCCAGCTGTAGTATACCAGTATACGAGTACAACTTACCGCTTAGACCTACAATAATGCCATCTCTGAAGCAGATGTTACATCACATCAGAGTCAAACATTAGGGAGTTATTGAAGCACTGCCATCCACTATTAATACTTTTTTTTCAAATAAGACCGAATGCAGGCCGCAACCTGGAGCGAGTGGGTTTACGAACCTCCTGACGTGCTGGAACTGCCGCTGATGGTATATCTTCTCGCACGCAGGCGGTATTTTTCTTCATCGCTTTCATCATCTATCACTCTCTTCTTTGACCCTATCACCCGGATCAACCGGCATGGGTATCATGTAAAAAACCTATAAAACGTCAAAAAAACCTATAATATGTCATCTTGCAAACTAGGTAGTTTTTAGGGCGCAAACAGTCATTCCACGTTTGCTCACTAGGATCGTTGTGAACGTCCATCTAAGGACGAATCACTCAACTAAACTAAACTAAACGCATTATTGGTTGCATATGTTTTGTGAGGCCAAATGGTCATTGTCTGTAGTTTTTATCTCTGAGAAGAAAGTTGGTTGAATAGCAAGATCGCATTTGGATGATTATGTGTATTGGTCTGCATGTGTATAAAATCAGTCATATTTTCTGTGTGAGAAAATCATTACTGAATATGCTGCGAATGAAGTATATCTATTGGTTGTGTTCGACGGGTTATTTTTATGTTGTGCTTTCTGAAGAGAGGTTTTGTTCAAAGTTATAAATAAGGAAAAACTGAGGGGAATTGTTAGCATGTATATCGCTTGTAATTCGACAATGTACAGTGAATATAATTATTTCTTATCTATCTCACTTTTGAAATTCAGCAAATTTGTATATGTAATTTCCAGAATGGATAAGAAAAAGTGGATGGGCAACTAATTTCTAGCTTTGAATCTCAATTAAGTGTATTTGAGACAAGAACCCAATGTAATTATCATCAACACATACAACTTACAGCTTAGACCTCCAGTAATGCCATCTCAGAAGCAGATTTTACATCTCATCAGAGCCTAAGTGTGATAACAAGCCTCATGATGTTTAGGCAACACGTACAACTAAGTGCTAAGTTAACATCTTGTAGAATAACCTACATAATGTCAAAAAAAACAGCATAATGTCAAAAAAATCTGCATAATGTCACTTTTCAAGATACGTGATACTCGTGTGCCGGTACGAGGTTCTGCATATCTTTGACCTCTATAATTTTCCTGGCTAATATGCCTCTTGATATATTCGTGACAGCAGTTCAGTTGTCAAGAGACTGCAGCATCGAGTTGTCAATGTTGTGAGAGGTGACTTCCATGCCTAAGCACTGGCTGCATTCTTGTCTATCTCCCATCTAGGACACCTGAAAAAGGTGTGGAAGGCGTCGTCCATGGCTCCGTAGTACATGCAGGATGAGTAGTCGCAAATAGCGAATCTGTTAAGATACGCTTGGAAACACCCGTACCCTGTCGATAGCTGGATCAGGTAGAAGTCCACTGTGCCATGCTCCCTTTCAACCCATGCTTCCAGATTTGATATTAGTGCCCTCGTCCAGCGACCCTTAGTTGTAACTTTCCATCGCTACCAGGTGTATGGGTAGCGTATTAGAAATGACCTCAACAGCCTCAGCCGATACCGTGCAGTATGCACTACTAATTCGCCTTATCCTTCTACTAACTTCTGCAGCTTGGCAAGATGTCGTTTTACCCTCATGACCCCTTCCCTTATGGGAGATGCGTATAGCATTACAGAGTAGGTCACTGAACCTAAGGTCGCTCTCTTGCTAGCTGGCGGACCTCCAATATTGGGCATCAGTCTAGATAGAAGCGCGACCAGTTTGGCAGTCTTGGTCGCCATCCTGCTTATATGCTCCCCAAAGGTGAGCCTAGAGTCAATGCATACGCCAAGGTATGACAATGCCTTCCCTGGTCGAAACTCTTGTCCATCTACCAAGAAAGATATTTGTTGTAATTTCCTTTTCTTGGAGATTATCACTGCTTCCGTCTTTTCTGGAGCTAAGGACATCCACTATCAATACCTACCTCACGCTAACAATGACAGGTAGAGACTGATCTTAAAACTGTTTCAGATTTGGATTATTGGGTGGTTAAAGGTGTTGGGTGCGGTTTCGTGCACGGATGACAAAATTTCTAACCTAAAAATATTTAGAGAAAATTAATTTTTATCTTGCTTAAAAGTGTACCAACACTGATTTAAATCCAATAATCTTATCAGTCATACAGTTTTGCTATTGTTTTTGTAATTCTTCGTGTTTTGCAACTCGTTGGAGGTAAATATCAGTCTTTGGTTGAATTTCACTGCCAAAGGGTCCATGATTTTTACCAGTTAGCGAGCATTATAAAATAATAACGAGAAAACGGCAAAGGAAACTACTTTCTGTATATATATATATAAAGTAGGGTTATTCGCACAAAAAAGAAAAATAGTTTTGGCTGTGCCACGACTTTAAGCGTCCTCTAATAGTGACAGGCACTAACTTTATTAATTTCAAGTCTTATTTTTGTTTTACTGCTCCTGCTCAGATGTCAAATACGGCCAGGAATTATTAGTGTCTGGCTTTATTGGACGTTCAATAACTCACTATTGATAGATGGGAGCGTCATGATGTTTAGGCAACACGTACAGCTACATAACGAGTGCACATCAACTGCAGGGGTATTACAGTCAAAAAGTGACATTAAGTCGGTTTTTTATGAAATGTAGGTTTTCCTACAAGATATCAACTAGAAACTACACACCAGTTATCTAGTCAACAAGTTGATATTTCATCGGTTATTTTGACATTAAAACTTATTTTTACGAAATGACCCTGTTGTGAAGGTGCCGTGACATGTAAAGCTTTAATTATTTCTAACATTGTTTGATATTTGTTAAAAGTTTTGCGTGTTATATTGTCGTATCCTGTGTAGTAGCTTTATAGAAAATGGTAAATAAAATCGCATGGCTCGAAGTACTAAAACCTTGCTACGGTGGTATACAATATTTGACCCTACCAACTAGCGCTCACGCGCATCCTACACATTAACGCCGTTGCCGTGAAGCGCCTAGTTCCCCAAGCTGTGATCACGTAACTTTTTCACCATATTTGGTAACAGCCGTGATTTGTGACTTAGAAACATCAGTTACTAAATCACAGTTCGTGAAATATATTTTTATTTATACTGTGGTCAAGTGACCCCTTGACTCAAAGGCTGGATCCGCCCTTGCCCTGTATGCGTTCCAGCCACAGCTTAAAACATATATATGTACATGGGCATGAAAGGTCACCCTTTTCTTACGCCATCTCCCCGTAGAAGTTTGGCGATCCAACATGAAACAACTGTTCGCCAAGCAGCTCGGATTATTTTAACTGACATTCCTCCATACGAAAGTTTTAAGTTCCGCGGCACCCCTAATGATCTTTTACCAACAATCTGATAAGACGGAGAATCTCGTAACATTATCGATGTATTGGAGTTTCCGCCTCATGATGGTTGTAAAGAGTTCTTTGTTTTGTTCCATTATGGAAATATGTTGAAATTAAAACTCATTTGCGAATTCAGTCTATTGTATTGTATCCTATTCATCGTATATATTCTTTCACCCTGTTATTAATTTTTCTGACCTCAAAACCCGTGAGGAACGGACTATTGCGAGGAGACTTTTTTGAAATACAAATGTCCTCACTACTGTATATTTATTACAGTCATTGTACGACAAGTGAGGGTTTGTGAATAATCCAAATAGGGAAGCAAAGAAAAATGCATTTATATGGAAAAATACATCTCTATTAGGATATTTTCCTAGAGCTATACAAAGATTTATCAATATATATTTACATTTCATAATGTTAGAGGTACCTTTACATTTCGGGGTCCCAGTGAAAAACAGGCTTGTTTAATAATTCCATATCTGGAACCTCGCTATGCAAACAGATTTTAAATATTAGATAACCCTTACAAACACATCTTTTCATCCATAAAGATGAGTTGTATGGTATCAAATCGATCTACATTAAATATATTAAATATAATAATTATTTACAAAGCATTTTGTGTATATTTACATGAGCATTAAATATTCCGGTATAACCTAAAACATTAATACTACAAAATATGGATATAGTCCAACTATTATTAAGGTGCTTATTATACTCTCTTTTTGAAGGCAAAATTCACGAACTCAGAAATAATATTTTAAAATTACTTGCAAAATATCCATTCCAGGATTGGTATCGATTGGCATTATATATTACATAGTCAGTTGTCTTTTCAACTGACAAGTTTCGTATGTATCGAGGCTTCTTACGAAAACACCATCATGTCTTCTTAAATACCTTGACACCTCATACTAATAATGGCAACACTAGAATGAATAACTTGACAATTTTTTTCCTTTACAAATTACTGCTCTTTGAAGTGGCTAACTGATAAGTTTGAATAATTGTACTCATGTCAGGCCATTCGAAGAGAGTGTGAATGGTGGACTCAATGCTGTGACTAATACAAATAAATTAATATATTCACCATTAGACAAAAAAGATTTGCTAAAAGCCTAAAAACCCAGGTCTGGGACTAACATAATATACCTAAAATTTTTGGGGTAATAGATACCAGTATATGGGGCATTTAAAAATTCAAGAAATCAAAATCAATGATAAAATAAGCATCGAAGTGTTAAAATCACTTGCAGACTTCATGTTGCTAGCTTACATCTTACTCATAACTTTTTTAAGTTATCAAGATAAAGCGTTTGGAAACGGAAACTTGCGTAGTGAATTTTGTGTATATCTAAAGAATAATGCTAGATACGTTTGTTTTCCTCGAAGCCTGCTAGTATGGGCTAGTCCATACAAAAAGACACTTGTTTTCGACTACACTCTTTAAAAATCTATAGTTTAGGATTGAGGATGCTAAATGTATTTGCAAAAAAATGCATACAAGTATATACGCCTATACAACATAAAATAAATTAACAATTAGGCTAAAAATAAAAAAGCTCCATACACCCACAACATATGTATATAGTAAACTAATATCACTCATTCCTCTATCAAATACGAAAGGCACACTGACAAAAGTTGGAATGTTGTAAGTAAATCGAGTGAAATGAACACGTGCTATTTTATTGAATGATATCTACATACACAAAAAACGAAAAGTAGATTTATCCAAAAACGATAAATGAAGCTACGTATTGCTTACAGAATAAATTCTACTGACGTTTTAGGTTATTTGATTCACAACAGACGTTAAAGAATTATAATTTGGAAATAATATAAATTTAAAATAAATAAATTTGTAATAATGTAGAATTGGTGAGAATACTGACACATCAGAAAAGATGGCGTTCTAGATACAATACATATACTGAGTGACAAAAAAAGATAAACACCTACGTATGTTTATTAGAATTCAAGAATTTTTTTATATATCGATTTATCTTGTCATGAATAACAAGTGATAACATGGTTAGGTTTTTCTGTTAAGTTTTTGGGGTTTGGTGATAAAGAAGCATTCAGTTTTTGTACATTTACGGTGTCAGTTGATTGTTAAATTTCGTGTAGCTTATTGAGGAAGCCTTTTTGTGATTGCTTAAAATGCGTAGTGTACGTAAAATTTGCCGGGTGTCCCAGCTAAGTGACTTTGAGAGAGGTCAGATTGCGTGAAGCCGGTCTATCGATAAGAGAAGTTTCTAGGAGGACCAACAGATCCTTACGCAGTATTATTGCAGTGTGAACGAGCGTGGACTCAGGAAGGACGAGGACAGCGAGCGAGGGGTTCTGGACGTCGCAGAGGGACCACAGAGCGACAAGACCGCCGGTTAAGACTTCTGGCTTTGAGAGAGTATATCGTCGAATACGACAGTTTGGCCTTTTTTCTTATCGCCCACATTAGCTGCTACCTCTCGCAGCTGAACATCGGCGTAAGCGTTTGCTCTGGCGTAGAGAAAAAATGGGGGGACCGGGAATGGAACCAGGTGGTCTTTAATGACGAATCCCGCTTCTGTCTGGGGATGCACGATGGTTGGGCAAGACAATTTGACAGAGGGCGTTAACCACACCGTGGGAGTTATGGTATGGGGTGCTATTGCTTATGGTAGCAGATCACCACTAATTTTCATCAGAGGCAATATGGCAGCCTGATGATATATTCAGGAAGTTGTGGAGCCTCATCTTATTCCATACCTAAACAGCATCCAAAACCCGATTTTTCAACAAGACAATGCCAGACCGCATGTTGTTAGAACATCGTTAGCCTTCATGGATCAACATCGCATCAACCGTTTACCTCGGCCACCACGATCACCTGATCTATCTCCAATTGAACATGTCTGGGACATGAAAGGTCACAGGCTTTTGAATTTGCAATACCCTCCACATACTGTAGCAGCTCGTACTCACGAAGTTGCAGTTGCCTGGAATGAGATACTCCAACAGGATATCGACCATCTTATCAGCACGATGCCCAGGCTGAATCAAGCTGAAAATTAAATCATTCTACTAGTAAGGGACACTGAACATATATATGCCAAAAATTATTAAAATCGGATAAACATACCTAACTAGATGTTTACCTATTTTTGTCATTCAGTGTATGATTTTAGGTGGAGGTATGTAAAAAGAAGAACACTTCGGAATCCAGGAAATCTGAATAGGCTTTTAAGATTTATAATGGAATATGTTTAAAATATATATAAAAACATCTATATATTAATTTTGAAAGTAAAACGACTTGCTTTTCAAATTTTTTTTAATACTTATAAACATTTTTAGTGCAGTTTTGGCAAATTCATTATATTCGCTTCCATTCTTCAGGGGCAGTGCAAGTAAAATTTATCTGAGTATTTAACAGTTCAATTGATAAGCACGCCACTAGCTTCTATGATGTTTAAGAAACTTTCAAACACATTTTTCTGAAAATCTGAAGTCTAGTTAGCTGTTCTGGGTTCCAAATTATAGAGCTGAAGAAGAAAGATCATAAGCGCTCAATCTTTACGAAATAAAGCTTCTGTGGAAAATCTTGCGGCTCATATTTTTTGACTACTGACAAATCCTTTCGATTTTACGCACTGAAGGTTGATATGGCAACCCTATTCACTTGAGTTAATCGGACATTCATCTATACAAAATTCCATCAGCCTTCTACACCGTGATGGTGGATGAGAACCGGAATATGCATATGTGATTCTATCAGTCCCAAATTCCTTTCGGTTATTTACCAAACCTAGAAGCAATACCATACAAAGCGTTGAGTAATTGTAATGCTCTAACGTCTTGATCGTCTTCGCTCAAGTTTTCATTCACAAAATTGGGTATGGGGCTATTGTTCTGCCTTGGTGTATCGAGAGTCAGACCTTCCACACTGGGGGCTGTGCTACCTGCATAGCTTGTCTCAGAGACTTTCAAGTTTTCGTCAGAATGATTATTATGAATATCTTTCGTTGCCTTTACACCACACTCGCTTATAAGCAGCAAAATTAGTCGCTTGCTAAGTGGGTTTGACTCAATTTCTTTCATTTTATTCAGAAACTCGGTTTCTGTAGTATTGAGCTTTCTAAGCAGCCTATGTAGTCTACTTGAGTCAGAGCTGCTAGTATTCATGAAATCAATGAGGATTCCATGGATTTGAGTAGAGTTTAAGGATATTTTAGGTAGTGTTCTTAGCTCGTATTTGATCTCATCTTGAGGTTCAGTCAGACCTGGTAGTTTTTCTGGCGAGCTAAAGTCTTCTACTACATCATCAGCTTCTTCTGGAGCCACCGTAGTTTCAAACTGATCATTGACCACTATTGGATTAACTCCGAAGGTACTGCTCCAAAGTTTGGCGACCGTTGGGGATGTTGTCCAGTGACCCTCCGGTAAATATCTTTTGTCATTTTGGTCTTTAGCCTTTTCATCTTGGTTCAGATGATTGTAACTAGGAATGAAAGATTGAGAATCTGCTGTATTCAGATCACCGGTTAGTGAGTTTTTAACATCTATGTCATTTGACTTTGTAGCGAGAATGAATCCCCATGTAGGGGAGGGTGATGGTATAGGAGGATAACTAGATTTACCATCAGCATCAGAATAATTCAATAATTCTTCATCGGTAGGAGACTCCTCATTATCAGTTGGATGTTCAGTCCCTTCCTCATAGAATGCTGGTTCTTTGGGTCTCAATTCGGCTAGATCCTTCCTGAACATTTCGGGATCATTCAAGTAAGACGCCAACGCTATAGAAAAATTCCTAGCCAATTGTCTGATTTCAGGAGTATTTGCTAAACTGTTTGAGCTTTCACTAACTTCTTCTTCCTTAGGGGCCAATGTTGTGCTAGTGTCATTGGTTTCATTGGATCTTTTGAATAAATGGTTGTATCCATGAACCGTCATTTCTGTCAGCAGAGTGGTCAACTCCTCTTTTTTCTCAATCACCTCTTCTTGAGTAAGATTTTCCTTATCTTTCATTATACTGTCTAATGCGCTTGCGAAGTAAGCTGCAAGAGTGTGTAGGGTTTGAGGTCCAACTGATGGCGGAACACTCAAACCAGGTCTAGGCGTTTCAGATGAATAATCAGGTTCTTTAGATTCGGCAAACTTCACCAATGCGTTGATCATGCTATCAACGTTATCATATATCGAGACGGTTGTAGATGCTACAGGTGTTGGAACTGTTGAGCTAGGACTGAATCCATTTTCTCTTTGAGGTCTAAATGGACTGGCACTAGAAATTTTGTAACTTGGTATCGTTACCGACTCAAAATTATCAGGCGTACTTAAAGGAATAATGGATTGTTGAGACTTTTCGAATGGCTTTGGTTTGAGCGTTGTGGTCTGTAATGCATAAGAAGCTTGGCTTGTAGGGTATGAAGTATTGAAAACAGATTTTTTCGTAACATAGAAACCAGTTCCGAGTACGTCAGGCTTGGTCCTATATACATCGGTCACTTTGACGTTTGCGTTGAGGAATGGAGATTGAACTGCGGTAGAATACTTTGTTGACGCATTGTTAAAAGTGATCGGGATATATCCGAATCCGGTCTGTGGCTTCACTATTTTGTTAAGGTCACGAGGCTTGTACGTATTTGCTGAATTATCTAAATCTCGAGATGAAAGCGGTAGGTATGTATTTTGAGGTCCAACGGTACTAGCTTTCACGTCTCCATGCTCGTACCTCTGACTTCTGCTACCTGTGAGAGATTTACCCAAAGTGAGTGCAATCCTGTCAGAGTTTTTACCAAACTTCACCTGCAGTCCATTTGAACTTTCTCTAAAAGGTGCAGGCGTTTGTTTCTGGTCACGGTAAGTTCCATAGACAGTAGCATGATCAATAGTTCGGTCTGTAATCCGCTCTACGGGAACAGCAGTAGAAGCTGAATAATATTCTGCTTCTTGAGGACTCGAAGTACTATGGCTGTATCGGTAAGTAGTACTGATAGTCTTTGGAGGCGATTGAGTGGAAGGCCCACCTGATGCCGAAGCTTTGACAGCATCTAGTAGTATCTGTGCAATTTTTTTATTTTCCTCTGCAATGTAGGCGTTCTTAATAACATTTTTAGTTGTTGTGGTCGTTTTTGTGGTAGTAGTGGATAATGGTATTTCAGTTGTAGTAGCAACATGGATCCTTGTGCCCACTCTACTTCCTAAGAACGGTTTTCCCTTATTGATTGGCTGAGTGGTGATGTATTGAGGAGTTACGGATGAAATTGAAATAAATTTATTGCTTTTCGGGGGATAAGTTGGTTGCTTTAAGTCAGAGTATGTGGTTCTGTGGTTAGGATAAGGATTAGGGGTTGAGGATTTTTGCAAATCATTATTGATAGTATTAAATGAACTTTTAACAAAAGAAGAGGACTCTTGTGGTATCTGAGCTTCATCCGAATCGGCAGACTCCGAATCGTATCGTCCATTTCGTGCGTTTTTGTTTGCAGTGTTAGACACAGCTAAAGTAAAGTCACTGACAGTTTGGGAAAAATCTTGATAGGTGGTATCACCGGGTGTAGTGTACTGCAAAGTTTCGCTCACTTCATTGCTTGTGCCTGCTTTAGCCTCAGTGTTATAATTGGTACCTCTATCATTTGAATTTATATTTGAACTATCTGAGTAGTAATTTTGGTTCCGACTATGATCAGTGAAATATTGATTCTGCTGAGTAGTTGTAAGGACTGAATACGTTGGAGGTGTGGTATAGTATTCATTCGAAGCGACTTTCGGTCTTTGGCTATAGTGGTGAGTTGTTGTTGATGGAGTTGGAGTTGTAAGGCCATTGCTGCGACTATAAGATACGCTGTTACGAACACTGCTCCTATAACTACTGTAATTGTTAGACCCTGGCGCAGACTGAACAGATTGATAATTATTATTCATGTCAACCGTTGTTGTAAATCCATTGTTTCTTTGATATTGTGTGTTTAAATAACCGAAAGCTCTCGTCGATGTACTTGATTGTGGATTATTTTTATTTATCTTGTAGTTCAATAAAGAATCCGATTTTGTTGTCTGATACTCATTTGGTTGTTGACTAAATGTGTACTGCTTAAAAGGTGCAATTGTTGTGGATACGCTGTTAACGCCTCTATCACTACCTACGCTGGTAGATGAAAACTGAACGTGGTATTCCTTATAATTGTTCAAAGGACGCTTTGTTGTAGAGTATCTCTCGGTAGCAGTACTGACATCATTTAAAGTATTGCCAGTTTGCGCATCGTTATACCTGCGAATTTTCGGCTTATTCACTGTTACTGAGTTTATGGCAGGTTTACTGTTACGACTACTGTTTATGTTTTGTGATTGAACGCTGTAATTTGGATTATGCTGACGATTATCAGAAGTTGCTAAGTCTGAAGTGCGTCTAGAGTTGATAAACTCATTATTATAGTCACTTGAGGTACGAATTCTACTATTCTTGTCCCGCTGGTTATTAATTAAAGTATTAGGTCGAGGTCCATTGTCATACCTAAAATTACTAGATGGATTAGTACTGTAATCGTTAGGGCCTTTCGAACTATTTTGCTCCCGATTTCTACTATTTTGTCTGCCGTTCCCATTGAAATTATTTGATTCTGCTCTATGTAGATCCTGAGGTTCTGATTTTCTTGAATTTAATGTACCTTTACCTTTCTGTCCATTATTATAAGCCGGACTTTTATTGAAACTATTATATCCCTGATCTGAGTTTCTCGTATACAGGTTTTGGTTTGACGAAACTCTGCCATTTGGAGATTTACTGTTATAATTATCATTTTGACGTTTTCTAACGTTATCAGTATCACTTCGCCTAGTTGGAGTACCATTCTGCTTGTCATCGATTGCTGAAGTTGGCAGAATTCGACCGTTTTGCTTAGCGCTGACCGAGGAGCTTTCTTCGGTCCTCATCACAGCACCGTGAAATCTTTCGCTGCCATCGGGTGAGACTCTCCGGGCAGACTTTCGTCGGAGCAGGTCTTCTCGAAGTTGTTCGGCACTATCTTCGTACAGTTGTGGTGCATCAGTGCAGTTCACTTTGAACCACCATTCGCATATAAGTTCCGACTGTTGGAAAATGGTCCCATTGGGACACAAAAAGGAGATTTTCTTTTCCTCTTCGCAGATATGGAACACCTGCAAAAAGAGCATACGCATGTAGATTACAGATATATTCACCATATTGATGGGAAAGATCATGTTACGGATTAGTAGTCCGTGTCGAATGCGTCAAAAACTCGCTAAAATAATGATATTGATCCAAATATGCCTTGATAAAAGGTCGCTCGTTAATGGGTACAGAGTGTTAAAGTTTAATTTTCAAAATTGTTTTGTTTAATTTTCTCTGCGCTTAAGTGGTTTTTGAAATGTCAAACTAAACATTGGAAATCGGTGGTTTCTAAGGAAGAATATTATGACTGAGGATCTCGGCTACCGTCTTTAGTCTTGCTATTTTTGTGCCATAACTTTTTTGCTATTCACGTTTTATTTTCTACTATACATTATGATAGACTGACGTTTTCAAGTAAAAAGGTATTTAAAATTTAGGATAAAACTCAATGAGTTACTTTGACTGACCTGATACAAACTCATAGCTAATTTCAATGGACATAATGATTGTTTGTTAAAAATACACGTTTTCTTAAATTATCTCTCTCCGGTAGCCAGCGACAGTAGTTGCTGTCATATCAATTTATTGTATAAGGTTTCATACATAATTCTAGCAGGCAGCAAATCCTTCTTTTTGATTGGTCAAAATTGTGACCATATCGAAAATCCTTCTTTTGGATTGGCGGCATTTGCGCCTGAGTCGCAAATTATGTGTCCGGGGCCAAATGAATAGATATGCTTTTGTAGCCAAAGCAGGTGATATAGGTATGAAGTATTTCTTGATTTATTATAAGAATTAGGAGCCATCATACCAGAATCGTATAATTTTTCTCCAGTCTGAGAGACATTCACCCGTTCTCATTGGTCTAATTTGTGCCATAGGCGCAAATTTTGATTCCCAGGGGCCGACAGTCAAATCGGGCCTTAATGTTAATGACTAATGTTATGATAATTTCTATGAGAAAAATGTTAATTCAGCCTCGCATGGTTCAGAGAAGTTACTGTTTTCATCTGTGTGTATTTTAAATCAGATTTTCAGTGGCGAGCATCCTAATTGCGACTGTCAAAGTACAACCAACTTATTTTAATTCTAATTGTTCATAAAGCAAACATAGACATACCTTAGCGACTATTTTTTTTGTATTAAAATAGAGCTGCATCAAGAGAATGAGTCCAACACGTCTATTTGAGTGATGCAGTCACTAGAATTGTTTTGGTTGTTAAGACCCACAAAGGCTTTAACTTACTATTTCAGATTTACTGCTACTGCCTACTGGACGTTACATGAAATGTACATCACGAAAAACAATGTCACTCGTCTCCTTCGGTATATCTGTCCATGGGCGCCCATGAGGGGGGAGGACAAAAAAAACCTTTGCTGTCGCTAGTACGTTTATACGTAACGTTGGTAATCCTACCATCCAATTAGACATGTTTCACACATCACAGATTTCTCCGTACATTAGCCCTCAAAACATTAAAACTATTCTCAGCAGACGGATTGTCGCGGCACACACATACGAGGGACGTCTTTTAAGTTTTGCATATGGGAATAAAACAACACGGTAGGCAGTTTTAAATGACTTTATTGTTTTTCGAAGTATTCTCCACGAAGAGTAATACACATCTGCATGCGCTCGAACCAATTTTCGAAGCACCAACCACTCGTTTGCTGGCAGACCCAAACCGGCATTTTTGAATGCGTCAACTGCTTCTTCTGGTGACTGGAACCTTTGACCACGCAGTCTGTTTTTAATTTTCGGGAAAGTTAAGAAATCGTTAGGACTTAGATCCGGCCTATATGGAGGATGGTCCAATAATTCCACTTTTTCTTCCGTTAAATACTGCCTTGTTTTTTGGGCTGTGTGGGAGCTTGCATGGTCTTGGTGGAGGATGATTCTTCTTTCGGGGTTGATTTTTCGAAGCTCGGTGATGACTTTTGGCAAACAAATGGTGGTATACCGACCCGCAGTAACAGTTATTTGATCATTAAGAGGAATTTTTGCAATATAACTCGCTTTTGACACAAATGTTGCGACCATCTTTTTAAAAAAACATTTCGATAACGGATGACTTTTCTTGGCTTTTCTTTACCTTGGAACACCCAAACAGCCGACAGTCGTGTATTTTCTGGTTCATAACAGTAAATCCACAATTCATCACCACTAACAATGCCATACACATTTTTTGAGTTTCCGGAATTGAAACGGTCAAGCGTTTTTTGACACCAATTAACCCTGGCTGCTTTCTGCTCCTCAGTCAACAGGTGGGATATCCAACGAGAAACTAATTTTCTTACTCCTAATTCTTCATGTGAAATTTTTTGAATTGAGGTCCTTGAGATCTTCCAGGACGCCTCAATCTCGCGATATGTCACATGTATATCTTCAATGATGAGTTTGCGCACAGCATCGACGTTTTCCTGGGTGACTGACGTTTTTGGTGCACCCATCCTGGGATCGTCGCTAAGACTCACCCGTCCACGTTTGAATTCTCCATACCAACGGGAAATTGTCGACTGATGTGGCGCTTCCTTGCCGAAAACACACAGTAACTCAGCAAGGCATTCTTGTTGCGATAATTGTCTCTGAAAGTTGTAATAAATTATGGCGCGAAAATGTTCTCTGTTGAGTTGAATTTTTCTAATGACTTGGTGACACTTAAAAATTCACTGAAGTGAGAACACTGCACGTATTGTTGTGAAACTTTGAATTTATGTTTACTAAAGAGTGAGGTTAAGATTCAGTACTGGCGTTCGATCTGCGCGGCCTACTATGTTTCTATATGCAAAACTTAAAGGACATCCCTCGTATTTCTGCCGCGCGCGCCACAGCATAGTGTTTCCAATGCTCTGACCGCGCAGCCACGTCTGATCGAGTTAATTATCGGGGAGAGGACCTGTGAGACTAACTTTTTTCTCACAGGGTCTAGTTTGTGCTGAACTGAATCCTTTATGAACTGGCGCTGCATGGGAAGTGCAGAGTAAACCTACCTGACACTCTTTTTCGTAATAACGATTTAACTTATACAGCAAATTGGGTAGGATCTTATTTTATTACACCAATGATTCATAATTATTTGAATATAAGCAACCAATTCATTTTTCAAACTGTGACTTTTATTAGAAAGTTACCTAGCGAAATTCTTTTTCTGTCTCGATGTGGGTACTCTTTGTTTACCTACAAGAATCAAATTCCGTTGAGATTATAGTCTGTCACTAGCACGCTCTAAATATACTATGTTGAAAATGCATGGATGTACCATCCTCAGAAACCTCCGATTCCCAATTTGCATGTTGGTACCACAAAAACAACCTGAGCTATAGAAAATGAAAGTGCGGCACACTGTATCTGATTATCGAGCAACATTTCATAAACATATACATAATTTGGCTCTCTATCGTTATTTCCACGAGTCTAATCTATAATTGTTTTTTGGCATATTTATTACACACCACCCAGTATATTGTAGATACTATCTATTCGCAGTAGAAAACCTAGCTTTTGTCAAATAGGGTTTGTTGGCTCTAATAAAACAAAAATATAGTTGTGAGGGGATGGATGGCTTAGCTTGTAATGTTGCTCGCACATCAGTGTTGATATGCAATGACAGCTTTCAAGATTACCTGACAGTCAGTCTCCAAGTCAGCATAGTACCCGGATCCTATCCCTTTACAGCTAAAAGATGTCCTAGGTATGTATGAGAGGATGGGAAAGTCAATTCCTGGTGTTCCCTCCATTCCTTGGTAGAATACCAAGTCGTCCGGCCTGCCATTTGGTTCTGCCTTTGTGATATTCGAGAACCCTTCGTCTACTGAATTCTCGTCTAATCCGCTAACCGGCTGTAATATGAAAATAAAAATAAAAATTTGTCCAGTATGCTTAAAATATGTGTCGAGTAGGTCGATTCTACATACTTAGGTATATGCCATTTCTTGGATCGATTCTTTTCATCAATCGATTTTTTCAGTTTATTTAGAAGAACATTGAAAGTGTGGTGAAAACGTTAGGAATAGTATTTTGACATAGAAATTCTTTTTCTGCTTTTTAGAATAACAGTAAAGTGCATAAAATTATTATTTTTTTTCTTATTCACTTCCTGTTACCTCTATGGGGTATTTATTCCACAAGGGTGATAATTTTATTTTTTATGCCACGCTCAAGGCTTTGCTTTTTGTGGCAGTGGACGATATTTTTTATATAAAGATGAATAAATACCGGAATATTTGAATAATTACAGTCAACCTGTTGGATACCATTATTTAGATAAGTGCTTATCAAAATGTTGTATGTTGTTTACTATCCTATCATGGGATATTTGTTTAAAAATAGGTATTTGGTTATCAAAGATAAATTAACTTCGATGGCCTCTGAAAGAGAAATTAAAAATTCATTAATGGTAACTGTAGGGATGTTGTTTATACTTTACACTATATTTTCTACAATATTCAACAATATATAGTGGTATCTTAAAGTAGTGGGCATATAAGATAAGCTCTCTCTTCTAATAATCTAGCCGGAGAAGGTTGGTTGGTTTACATACACCCATGAGTTGCGATGGAATTTTGATAGTTTAAAGTCTAACCGGATAGCATACAAACTAACCTATACGTGTAGGCATTTTAGTGGAAATATGGTTGTTAATCAAGATAATTAAACATCTGGTAACTAAATCATAAACATATTATTGTGACGTCACATGGACAATATACATATAAATAAACCCTGCATGTATACACTATACATGCAGGGTTTTTCAAAAAGGCTCCACCTACTTATTTTTTCAAGTTGGCAAGCTGAAATTCGGAGTAACGATATTGATGACTGGATAATATATTTAAGCGTAAAAGCGGCTGTCGGAAACAGCAAGATGGCGGCTGAGCGCTATTTTGAAACCTTTTTTAAATGGAATGGGGCCTCATGCCATTATATAAAATATAAAATCACCCGTAAAAATGATGAGCTGGTAGGCTGTCAAAGTTGAGCGTTTTTCTGCGATCAGCTATATAAAAGCTATAGTACGATATATCAATCTTCTTCTCTTCGAAGGGTATATACGCATGTGCAATTAAATATATTGTGAGATTCCAATTTAGCTGACGTCGCGATGTGTATGAGAGAGTGGAGTGCAATATGTACTATTACGCATGTATTAGAAAAAGTGCGCCGTAGGCATCCGTGACCTCGTACCCGGGTTGCTAGGTAACGAGGTGCTTCTTTCTCTTTTAACACACGTCTTGCACGCTTCTATCTAGTAGACATTACGGCGTCATTGGTATTTGGCTTGCAGTGAAGAACATTGCATTTAGAAAAACTGCCAAAATCTTTAATTTTTTTAAGCTGAATGATCCATATTTTATTGCAAAACTAGATAGACTCTTCAAAAAAAAAGAAGAATATTGATATAACATCATTGTACAATGTTTTGCTGATCAGTTGTTGAGCGCTCTTGCGCATTGAGTCGGCAGTAGCCAATCATCAAAAGGCTATTGTATGTTCTATCAATCTTTTTGTCCTGGAAGTGTCTATCCGAATATATAATAAAATATACGTAACATTCCAATTGAAAAAAGTCAAAATCTGCCAATTTTTTTCATTTTGGGAGGTAGTGGTTTTATAATTCAGGGTTATAAATTACTCCTAACAAGCTTCAAAATAATGTTAAAAAATAGATACATCAATTCGATTATCTCACATTTTAACCTGTAACTTTTGACCCGCCCAAAAATGAGTAGGGTGGCTCTTTTTGAAAACCAATGATATTTGATGATGATAGCTAGAATGTTCACGTGACAACAATAATCTGTTTCGTCCTTTAGAATTAAATAAGACTTACCGCAGGTCCTACACAGTATGTAGCACATAATAGCACGGTTATGCCTGAAACAAAAAATGTAATAAAAATAAAGTGAAGATCTCCCAAAAAGCTCTAGAGCAAAAGTAGTTATATACTTCTTAGTAGGTACTAGATAGCATAAAGATATGATGTAGATTGGATGATAGTTTCTCAAATGGTAGCACAGAACTCATCATATACGATGCTTTTCATAAAGGTATTCCCACACCAAGTGGGGAGGAAGTATTGAAACAAAAAAAAATCGGAAATAAGGTATTAACAACTTTGAATGTTACATGACACCTATAACGCGATAAACCGTTTCTGTCGGTGTGACCCCTTATTTTGAAGCTCCTTAAGACTTACTTGACCTGACCTTAGAATATAAGATTACTATCTTTAAAAATGGCGAGCTAGCACGCTATCGAAGTTGAGCGTTCTTGTGCACTGAGTCATCAATTAAACGAATTAAGTCAGTCAAACATGCCTATAACATGAATCCATAGTATTTTTCATCGTCTTATCAACATCGCGGATCATTAGGCAAGTTGGTATGATTCATCTTGCCTTGCGCAGCGCACAGGTAGCCAGAGACGCGTATTTCTCTAATCATTGTTGAGGGCAAATGTACGGGGAAATCATTTTTCTAATCGGTACGAAGAAATGCCGGGGTTGGAAGCTTATAAATATACTAATGTCAGAAAATAGAGACATACTCTCGGCCATCCCTGAAACCACCAATTTTTAAGCCCTACAAAAATTTTTGGAAAATGAAGTCTCTGAAGCGACAAAAAACGATTTTTGAGCGATTTTTTTTTTTTCGACTTTCTGCACCCAGCTCTGCCGCCACTGGACGGATTTTCAAAATCTATAGAGGCGTTTCGTCTTTGGCACAGTAGCAACCTTATGTAAAAGTTTCATCAAAATCCGTGCTGTAAATTCCAATTTATATACGGGCCCAGGATTAGCGCACACAGAGCGACGGAAACGCGTGCCATTTTTTTAGTGATTTACAGATCGTGTAAGATCCCAAAAAAATATATCTCATTTTCCAGATTTTCAATATTATAGTATTGATGCATTAGTTCCATCATCGCAAATACCAGCTCGCTAATTTGACCCGTTTAAAAAATAAGTTGGGGCATTGTAATTATAAAAATGTGATGAAGTAGTCTAGGAATATAATAATGACCCCACGTTTATGTGTCTATGAGGAAAAGGGAAAAGAAATAACGACGTTCGTATAGAGTACCATCCAAGTACCATCCTTCGAGGTGACGTAACAGAAATGGCGAAAGACGCATTCTGTTCTTTAGCAACTTCCAGACGGCGATCGAACAATTGAATTATTTAATCTGCACTACGGTAATCGTAATAAGAGAATCATTTACATTTCTGATCTGGAACGAGATAGGATATGCTTTTGGCAGTCTAATTGGACTGTTAGTGGAAAACAACACTTGTAGTTATTGTTTTATTGCTTTTATCTTCATTCCAGTACTGGACATAGATAATTTTAACATTCAATAAGGTTACTGATAATTCACCGATTCCCTTCCAGAGTAGGATAGGGTTCACAAAATGCAACAAACTTCACCATATAAGTATGGTCGCCAATTAATAGTTTTCGAGATATTTTCTTGATATTTTGTAATTTTTTAGCAATCACCCGTAATTGGGCATTTGAGTCTAAAGAAAACTATGTGTGAGATGTCAATTGATTTTCGTAGTTTAAATTTGAACTAATTTGATACAATCATAAAATGTACAAAAATAATACACACGATTAAATAACAGCTATTTCAAAAGATACATTTTTTCTCGTTTCAAGTTTTCCTATCAACAAAACTGTCTAGCTCTAAAAATTGCTAATACATTGAGCGTACAAATTACTAGAAAAACTTGGATGTCTAGTCAGCTTTCCAAGAAGGTATAACACATCAGTATGAAAGCGCTTAATTCTTAACGAATCGCCAATCAATCCAATTTAGGTCAAATAATAATCCTTTAATTAACTGATCATTTCGATAATTATTCAAACTGAATGTATTTGTTTTTTCCAAAATCATTCTCAATACGAGCCTTTTAGTTGCAATTAGAGGTCTGCAGTCACTTTCTGCCTGCTGCTTTTATCACTTCTGTGGTAAAACGACAGTTTGACAACTGCCCGTGTCACGTATTCCCGATGTGGTGCTCCTTAACAGCTTCCACAGAGGCATGAAATTCTGGAAAGATCAATTATGTGGATACGGCGAAATTTTCTTTCATGATTTTTCACTCACGTTGAGCTACACCGAAAATATTAATCCCAATCGATGAATTTTCTACGCCTTTTGAGGTTTTAAGGAGCTACAGGTTGATAACTTATGGCACGGGCATCAGATTTCAGAGAATTATTTATAGTCGAGCAATTTCTCTAGACCATAGTAAATGAGGCATAACTACTTACTTTTACCACAAGGGTGACCAAATCAGGAAGTAGGATGGGAATGCATTCACGATTGAAATGATCCTATTGAATTGATTTTTGAATCTCAACCTCGGTAGTTCTACGCACCTATTAGACATATCTCACACATTATAGATTTCCACGTACATTTGCCCTTAAGGCAGAATGACATAAATGTTTTCGATGCTCATTTGTTTCTGCGCCCGGTGTGGTGGGGTGCCGGTCTTGGTAAGTCCCCTGCCGCGTCTGACCTCAGGAAGAGGCAACGTTGCCAGATGGATTGTCGGTACATCAAGAAAAGAGTGTCGATGGACTAATTGTATTGGATCAGCTGGACTTGATCCGCTTAGTTTCTCTGTTATATATTGTATGTTCGTAACTAACTGCTTTCTCAGAGGGTCTAGCTTGTGCTGAGACGACGTTGCGTGGGGAAAGCAAAGTAAACATACTTGACGACATTTTTTTTACCTACTCCCGCAGCGATTTACAGCATCGTAACCCCCATCAAAAGAAAAACAGCTAACCGTTCTTTTTTAAAACACATTGTGAAGTAAGGATATGGCCTTTCAACCTATTAAGGAGATTAATATATGTCCACAAACAGCAAAATAATGACCGCATGGCAACACGTATTGGAAGCTTTTAAGGCGTTATTGCTATTCTAATTGCAGTCGAGATCAAACAAAAGAAAAATGTCAAGTGTGCTAGGTAAAGATGTACACTTGTACAGGTAAATTATCATTTTGGAATTATGGAAGAAGGTCTTTGCTAAATAAGAGTCAGGGTTATCGATAGTTATACCTGCCATTATATAAAATATATCAAGGTATGCCATGGTAATTACAGCAACAGTGCGTCAAACAGTTGAATCCAGACACACAATTGTTGAAAATTTTGAACTATTTTTGTATGTTATTTATGTTAAAAGTGCACTCATGCCACGTCCAAATCGCTATTTCTTTTTTGCTTTCGAACTCCATTCGGTGATTTGACCATTATATTAGTCATTGTTGATAAGAGTATCAGTAGGTTGTACCTCTTTCCTTTACTCGCCACGTCAATAAGCAAAACATTTCTAATTTGTTATACAAGGTATCCCAGAAGACCACGTCTACCTTTGGAATGCGTATACAGGATGTTCCCTAATTGAATGCCAATATTTAAGGAGGCGATTTTGGGGTCAATTTTAAGAAGAAAACTTCATATGACCGTCTTAACTTTTGAGGTACAGAGTTCGTACGGAAATCGCTTTTCTTTAATAACTCTTGAACGAAACTTTGACAGTTAAGTTAGAAGCAGAGGCAGCATAAGATGGTATCCATCGAAAGCGATTAACTAGTTCATTTAGATATCTCCAGAGACGAACTAATTTCCACGCAATGCTACTACAATTTTTCCTCGTATCAAATGGCCCGATAACATATATCGAAAGCATCATCCTTAACCTAAAAAAATGTATTCCTATTAGTCAGTATAATGGGGTATCGGTCCTACTTGGCTGACTACTTTTTGTGGAAGTCTGGCTTCGGTTAATTTCGCTGAATCTTTTATGTTATGTGTCTCGGTGTCCTGCACAAATCCCTTAATGGGCTTAAATCCCAAAACTCAACGGGTCCTAAGATATACGAGTATGTCGTGTGTCGGTATAATCGGATGTCGGTTTTACTCAGCTATCTGCTCTATCTAGAAGAATATGACTCAATTTGTGAATTTTCATGCTTCTTGTCATGCTGAACAAATGTCTCAAAGGGCACCATCCCCGACGCGCATCAGGTCTGAAGACATAGGCCGGTTCTACCGAATATCTGCTTCAAGAAAGAGTAGTTTCGGTTGATTTTTCTGAATTTTTTAGTTCTTATGTGTCTCGGAATTCTGAAGAAATGCCTTAATGGGCACAGGCCCCAAAGCTCAACGAGTCCCAAGCTAAAGGACGTCCAAGACAATATAATTACTCATTACCTTTAATATGACTGAATTTGTGAAATTTCATGTAATTTGGCATCGTTAACAAATGCTTCAAAGGGAACATTATTATAATGGTAGTATACAGGGAGCGTCAGCAATATTCAGTTAGCTAGTTACTTAACTATCAAAACGTCGTTGAATTCTATCGTATCGTTGAAAAGTGATATTGGAGAATCTGGATTACCAGTGGAGTCCTTAGGGACCTGTTTCTCCGATAGGGCTCGGCATTTAACGTTTAATCTTTTAGCCGTTTAAACGTTTTCTTAAGAAACGCTTTTCGTAACCTGTTTAACAATTAAAAGGTTACATGATTAAGCGTTTGAACGTTTAAACGATTACTCGGTTAAACATTTAATCGTCTAAACCGTGTTTAGAACGATTAACGTATCATCAGAAGGCGTTTCGTGATAAATGACAAACTAACCGAGATGCTTTGATGCAAAAAATGCCCTATCGTGACGACAGGTCTACTTTTTTAGAGTAAAAGTTGATTGGTTGTTCAAGTCTAAATCAGTCTAAATGAGCTACAGTGCCGAGGAGTACGCGACAAGTAGGCCTATATGCTGTCATTGCCTATTTTTACTTGTAACTCGGAAAGGGCTGCGATGTATCGATCTATAAGGAAGACTGGCAATAACCACTTCGCTTGTACCTGTACTAGAATTGGGTCAACTTCTTGACGCCTGCAGGGTGT